AATTGAGGACACCCCTCTAGTTTGAAGGACAGTCAAAGGACACATAACCACCTTACTTATGGTTCATTTGAGTTCTGTGCTTTAGAACTGAGCGTACATTGCTTATATTGCAACGTTACCTATGAGATTATCTACTCTCAGCTTGTTGTGCATGAAGTTTATGTAAGGAAGAATGTGTCATATTCATTCTGAAAAATGATTAAATATGGCGTCTTTTGAGGAAAGTACCACCTTGGAATATAGGGACGCGGGTGGCTCTGTGGGTTAAACCACAGAGCCTAGGACTTGCCGATCAGAAGGTTGGCGGTTCGAATCCCTGTGACGGGATGAGCTCCCATTGCTCGGTCCCTGCTCCTGCCAACCTAGCAGTTCAAAAGCACCTCAAAGTGCAAGTAGATAAATAGGTACCACTCCGGCGGGAAGGTAAACAGCATTTCCATGTGTTGCTCTGGTTCACCAGAAGCGGCTTAGTCATGCTAGCCACATGACCCGGAAGCTGTACACCGGCTCCCTCGGCCCATAAAGCGAGATGAGCGCCGCAACCCCAGAGTTGGTCACGACTGGACCTAATGTTCAGAGGTCCCTTTACCTTTACCTTTACCTTACCACCTTGGAATATTTAAGGCAGCTTTACAACCCTAAAGTCTAACAATCATCTGTGCTACATGTCTGTAGGAAACCTATGCTAGACTTGCCCCCCGGTTCAAATCTGCTGGGCTAACATAAATACTTTGTAAAAAAAATAGGGAGAGCTTTTTTTACAGCCAGGGTAGAAAAGCCAGTATTAGACTTTATCTCATGGAACAAGATCATTAATTGGCAATGAAGGAAATGTATCTCAGCAAGTACTCACAACCCTTTCTTTATTAGAGTTTGGATTGTTTTTAGTAGCAATCACAATGAAAGGGTTAGAAAGGAGGATGCTGGCATTTCTGTCCGCCTTCCCATCTGGGTTAGCTACATGCTTGCAAAAAAGGGAGAAAGTGAGAAACAAGGGGAGGGGGGGTGGAAGGCTTCACCACACTAAATGAAAAGCAAACAATATGCATATCAGCATCCTAAGGAGATGTACCACTCTGCTGGGAAAAAACAAGACAAAAGAATTATCTGACACAACAGTTCAAAGCATATTGCACCTGTCAAAACGTCTGTCATCTTCTATAGAAATGTGCCATTCCAAAAGGGGAGGTGGTGGTGGAAAGGGAAACTCGACCAAAGTCACGCAGAAACAACAGACCACTTTGTCTCCTTCCTGCAGCCAACTCTTCCATCTGAAAGCCATTTGACTCAATGCTAAAGAGTGCCTGGAAGGACCAGACAATAGGAAGGTCTCTTTCATTGTCAAGGACAGTTACACTTTGAAGATGATGCTCAAAAGGGGTTAAAATGGGTCAACAAGCAATTGTTGGCCCCATCCAAGGAAATTTGAACGGAACATTGTTAAAGCCACACACACAAAATCCTTCTAAAAGGATGCATCTTTTAAGCAAAGGGCAGTGTGGGAAGGGGAAGATCAACACACCATACTGATTTAGTCACAAGGAATAAATTAAGGCCACCATTACAACCCCCACTGTAGATAGATTGATGAGGTGTTTTCAGTCTAGATGTGATTGCACTTAACGGTAGGCATTTGCACTGCAGGAGAAATAGGGTCATCATCCACTGAAAAGAGGAGATACACTTTCAGAATCTGGCCCAAGGTGGCCTTAACTTTTTCACTCCTTTTTTTTAAAAAAAAACTTGCATGTTGGTGTTGCAATGGTCTGGTTCTTTTAAGATCTATGACAAACAATGAAAATGCACCATGCCTGTTTATAAATGCTAGTTCATTACAAAGGATTTCCTGTCTGTAGCAATGGACTCATTTCAAATCAATATGCTAAGTTTAGAAAGGGTTCAATGTTAATAAAGCATTTTTTAAAAATAAAAAACAAACATTTCTGTGCAATCAGGCAAACTATTTTGGTGACTTCTTTGGAGAACCCCATTAATTTTATCTCTGCTCAGTACTGAGAACAACAAAGGTGATCTGCTGAGTACATAATATACTGTAGTCTTGCTCAGCTCTCATTCATTTCATAGGGGTTACACAGGAGAATGTCCCAGTGGACTGAGCCCTAATGTAAGGTAATCATCAGCAGAAAAGAAAACACAGTTACAGATATTTTAACCACAATGGCATTAACATTTTCACTGCTTTTTTTTTTAAAAAAAATGCAAGATAAGATCTACAAATATATAAGTGGATAATTGTAAGTGGCATCCACCATCCAGGGAGTCAGTATAGTGAGGTAGGTAGATTGAATGTATGTTGGACTAGAACAGGACAGGTGTGGATTCAAATCCTCACACATTGAGGCAGCTTTTGGATGTTTCACTCTCCATGAACTGAAATTAACACAAAGGGTTGCTGTGAGGACAACTCAGTTAAGGGCCTGCTTTCCTCAGTTCCTTGGACGAAGGGTGGAATAAACATGCCAAAATCCCTATCTGAAGAAGTGTGCATGCACACAAAAGCTTATACCCAGAACAAATTTAGTTGGTCTCTTAAGGTGCTACTGAACAATTTATTATTATTATTTCAAATCCCTTTTGTAAGATACAAATGTAAAGGAATGGACATCTATTTTCATCTGGGATCATTATCAGTACTCCTCATCCTTGTACATATTTCTGTGTATCTTTGGTTAGTTCATGACAACTTAAATATCCAAAAAGTAAAGGTAGCTGTGCTGGCCCTTGAGAAAATCCCAAAATCCATTTAAGGGCAATGCCTTTGTTAGAGCAACCAAAATATCACAGAATTGCTTGCAAGTTCTCCAGAAAGCTTCAGAAAGCTAGATGGTAAATTGAGCAATTTTTTGGAGGGGGAGGGATTATTCTGGCTGATATCAAAGCTGTAGAGTCTGCACTGTATCCTGCCCCCTTTGCTCTATTTATTATCTAGCTAGCCTGATGAAGAATTCTGGACAATTCAAAAGTTTGTGCACTATATTGTGATACTTTGCTTCAAAAATGTTTTGCACTAATGCCTATGTTAAATAGCCAATGCATCTTACATACACAGCCTTGACCCCATGTTACCTCATAGCCTCTTAAGTATACCATCTATGCACTAACTTAATAATATATGTGATATATATATATATATATATATATATATATATATATATATATGAGAGTTTTGTGTAATGTTTTTTGGTTGCCCAAAGCATTTTACACAACACACATAATCTCAACAAACCTCACAAGATAATGGAAGTCAGTAATATTGCCCCCATATTGCAGATGGAAAATTGAGGTTGATGTTCAAGAGTTGGGGGGGGTGTTGGGGGGGTTGTGTCAGAAACAGAAATTTCTATTTCCTCAAGCTATACTATGTGCATTTTTGCACTCTTTAACTTGTCAATTCCCAGTGAATGATCCGCCATTTTTTCACTATGAGTAGTACTTTTAGTGAAGTGCAATTTTCATCACAATATTGATCTATACACCATGCTGCTGTGGAGCTGTGAATTCTTTTCTTTTCTTTTCTTTTCTTTTCAACATAAAGAAGGTATAGAAATGAGCATAAGAAAATGCCAAATTGTCCAAAAATATTTATGACATTATGTCCAGGTGAATTAATTTCAGTGCCTAGACACTTACAAATCATGGATAATGTCTCACCTAGTGCTAAATTATCTGCTCCATTCAGGAACTTAATGTTTGCTTTAGTTTGTGTGTTTTTTGCTGATAACATAGAGAGTGGCCCAGTGCCACAGCACACAGCACATTATAAAGCTCTTTTTTTCTGAGGTGGCCATAAAAGGCATTCATTTCCCTATCTTCAGTACAAAACAGGCACATGCTAATTTTCTGAGAGTGAAATGATGGTTTGGAAAGTAGCTAAAGACTTAAGCATCAAGTGACCTCAACCCATAATGCTGAAGTTATCTGGAGTCCAGTCCAGCCAGTGAAAAATCACTCTTAAGTCCCACTGATTTCAAGGGGGTGAACTGAGCAGGTGCTTAAATCCCTCCTATTGAAATTGCAGGAATTTAAAAGTCCTTAATTTAAGCTGGATTGTGCCCGCAATGTTTTCCAGTTTGCCTTGTTATCTGAAAATGCTAATACACCCAGAGAAACAAATCAAGGATGGTTGCTTGGTGCATTATTTATAGAATGCCATGTGCTGCAAGGCCTGAGAAAGCTCAGATGAGCTCACGGCAGCTAGAAGGCCTCAGAAGATATAGGAATATAGGAAGCTGCCTTATGCAGAGTCAGACCACTGGTCCACGTAGCTCAGAACTGAACGAAATGACTAGCACAACTCCCCAGCATTTCAGACGCAATACTTTCACAGGGGACTGAATAGGGAACTTCTGCATGTTCACTTAGTGTTAGGAATTTTAACATACAATCATTTGTCAATGTAACAGGGATCCTGCTTGCTGGGCTTTAAACCCAAATTATTAATCTGACTTCCTTAGAAATGAATTTAAGTTTGTAACTATTAAAAACACTGGAAATATAAAATATGCAATGACTTGTTATAGATATAGATATAGAAATATCCTTGTCCAGTTAGCTAGGATTTGTTTCACAATAAACTGCCATCAAATTTTCTCAATGTACAGTGGTACCTCGGGTTAAGTACTTAATTCATTCCGGAGGTCCGTACTTAACCTGAAACTGTTCTTAACCTGAAGCACCACTTTAGCTAATGGGGCCTCCTGCTGCTGCCGTGCTGCCGGAGCACGATTTCTGTTCTCATCCTGAAGCAAAGTTCTTAACCTGAAGCACTATTTCTGGGTTAGCGGAGTCTGTAACCTGAAGCGTATTTAACCTGAAGCGTATGTAACCCGAGGTACCACTGTATAATGCCCAAGTTTAAATCTTACAACCACCACCATCACACTCTCATTAAAGTCATATTTAAAAAAATAATAAAATAAAATAAAATAAATAAATCAGCTCTTGATTATGATATTTAATCCCATTTGAAATAGTTACACCCTGAAAGGACCTCTCAGTTTGAGAACATGTTAAAGAAATAGGGATTTCCATCTAGTGACAACACTTCAGCATTTAAAAAAAAAAATCCATATTGCAACATGGCACGCGATACATCAAATTACCATTGTAAAGTGCAAATTCTTTGCAACACTGGAAGCCATCACTGAACAAAAATACTACTAGAAGAGTTTTCAAAAGGAACATTTTCGGCTAGGAAAGAGACTTTTGACATTATTTATTAGGTTCAAAAATGCTTAACAAAAGGCCAACAATGGTCCTGTGGAAACCACTACATCTGAGGCACTTTCTCTTGTTAGAGGCCGGCATTGATTTGAGGATGGCCAGCATGAGTGGAACAATTCCCTCACACCAGTCAATGCAAGTGGGCATTCAGACACAAACAAGCACAAGCCTGTGAACAAGCCATATGGAAACATTGGGGGGAGGGGGGCAAGGGGAGGGGGGGCGAAGTAAACATTTATTAACCTCTTTGTGCCGAGATCGGCGGAAGGACAGGCCAGGAGTGAAGGAGACGGTCATGCCAAATTTCCACGAAAGACGGGGGTTTGCCCCGAGCATTTTTTCATAGAATATGGCGAAGCATGGAGAATGTCTGCAGTGCCATGGTAACTGAAGCTGTCCGGATCGTAGTTTGGAAGACCGTTGAAGAAGTCTTTAGAGAAGGGTTGGTAGGAAGTTTGCTTCAGGCTTAGCTCTTGAAGAAACTCTTGCAGGCATGGGAGATGAGCCCAGGTCGGAAAAAGAGTCATTCCTCGTGACAAGTGTTTTTGTTCTAAAAAAATGTTTAGGGGTACTCTGATTTTCCTACTCATATTGAAATACTGCCCCTCAATGAGGCCAAACTTAGAGTCACAAAATGTTTAGGGGTATGCGTACCCCTGCTTCCCCCCAGAAAAAAAGCACTGCTCGTGACTGAGGAAAGCACTAGAGAAGCTTCCAAAAAAAAAACAACACCTAGAGATAATGTACTCTGCACATGTACTTCTATATCTGAAAGAACATTCACATACTAAAAACAAGGGAACATGTGGGATTTTTACGCACACAAGTCTGTTTAAAAATGCTGCTAAGGAAATGATGTGGTTAGGGAATTGTGTATGACAAAATTAAGAGCTACCAATTGTTAGTGGACCTTCAGCCTTAAATGTTTAGGTAGAGGCTGCATCCTCCGGGCTCACAGAAAACCCCTTAAAGTGGGAGTTCCCATTGCTTGGACAAAAATTCTGATCTGAGTCTGAAGCAGAACTAGAATTTAGGAACATAGTAAACTGCCATGCAATCAGATCATTGGTCCATCTAGCTGAATACTGCCTACACTGACTGGCAATGGCTATCTAGTGTTCTAAATTTGTATGTATTAATAACCCATATAAAAGCAGCTCACCTAATATGGTATTTTAGCCTACACACTGTATGCTTGGTAGTGCAACCTTTTGTGATTATCTGCCCTCTAGCTCTTGCTATAAGGGGATAGATTAGCCCCCTAGTCAGTGATGAACAATGTTATCTGCATCGATAGTGACCAATGGAGCACAGTGGGATGACACTGTTTACCTGGCTTACCAAAACAGAGGTCGCTGTCAGTAACTGAAAGGGGTAAGGCAGTGGGGAGGTCAGTACAGTTTCAGCACAGCATTAGAAGTGTCAGCTTGACTCTGCCACTGCACCTGCACCATGCCAATCTCCTTGCCACCTTGACTCCCCATCTCGGTTACTGACAGCGACTTCCACAATGGGAAACTGGGAAAGTAATGCCACCCCACCAGCAGGTGCTGATTTGTGTGCCAATATGTGTACCTGTAGGGTGGACAGCAAGCTGTGTGTCTATGTTGTACCAAAATTCATGGGGCTTCCTTGAATGAGGCATGAGAACACAATATAAGTTACATACCTGGCCAATCAATGATTTTGTATTTTAGCTGTTTCCGTTCTATCTGCAAGCTACCTTGCACCCCGATCTGGGGGAAAGGCTTGTTGTTGTTGTTGTTGTTTAGTCGTTTAATATTCTTACAACAATCTGTTTCCCTCTCAAAGGTGATTGGCTAATTACAGTTCAGGATGGCCTATGAAAATTTTCTGAATGGCTTCAGCCTCTGAAAATAATGAAGTTGCACTGCTTTGTATCCTGGCTGAATCGAGACATTCTACATTTCTGTCTGTGTTTACTCTATAGCAGTTTCAGTGTCTTCTGCTTTCTCCTTAATGTGTACACAGGTGGTCTCCAGGTTGATAGGTAGGTGAGGATATGCCATTGCTCCCATTCCAACCATCTCTTCCCCACTGGAGACAGAGCTTGGTGGTGGCATTTTTGGAACATCATCTTCACAATGCGCAAGCAGATTGGTTCTCACTGGCTGCACCTGTTCTCTTCTAAAATTGGCTGAAGAACACAAATAAACAGGAGCAAAATTAGAAGAACCCCAGATGCTTTGCTAAGTCCTACCTGTTGCATCTGGACTTTTAAGTCTCCAATATATAGTTCCAAACTTGAATGCACATTCAAAATCAGACCTAAAGAAAGAAATAGAGTTGCTAGAGCAATTAAAGCAAAGGCTGCCCATAGTATTTTTCACTGAGATATTCCAAGTTTACAGCATCTAACAAAATAAGTACATGTATGATAATTTGGTAAAGACTTAATAGAATTGGAGTGCTCATTCCACTGTAAAATAATAAAGCTTAATAAAATAATATTCTGCCTCATTTTATTAATCTGTTTATTCAAAAAGTCCTTTGCTGCACTCTAGATCCAAGTAAAACATATCCTACAAGAAAGCAGAAAAGAAGAAAAAGCTTTGAAAGCCTTGTTGATCTGGAAGGCTACATAATTTTAATGGAAATTTGCACAATATGATTGAGACCTACCTACAACTCTCAGCTTCTGTTTTATAATTTTCTGTATTATGATTTGGTGATTATTAATGTGTCTTAATGCACAGTATTGTGTTTTGACTATGTCCTAAAGGGCAATGCAAAATACCATAAATAAATCAATAATTATTGTGGACTTTCATAAAGATGTGTACCAAATGTATTCTGTCTTAATCTCAAATTTTGGCTAGGATTCAGACTTAGTCATGCTTACAGTACATCCAGTGAAATAAATAGGACTATGAAATGGATGCCATACATCCGGAATTTATCAGACATATCCAGAATACTGCAGTCGGAAGCAGTGTCCAAGCAGAAATCGCTAAAATATCCTGGAAAATCCGGACTTTGGCCAAAAAACAACAATTTTTCTGTCCAGATTTTCGCTGTTTGAAATATGGCAACTCTAGACTATGACCAACTTCAGTAGGTCTATTCTAAGCATGGCAAGCAGAGCAATCCTATGGGGAACTTGAAGCAGCAGGGTTGAATGGAATGGCAGAGCTACTGCCATATCCAAAGTCCTGCCATTCATGCTGCCCAGGGTGAAAAGCTCAAGGCAGCACAGAAATCCTAAATGGGACTGGGGAGGAGTGCAGTACAATCCAAATCCCTGATACACATGATGACCAGGAAAGAAAGTGGGCAGATTTTTCTTTTTTGTTGTTGTTGTGCCAGGTCAAAGTTGGACTCCTCCTAGGGAAATGCAGCAGCTTTGTATCTGGTGGGACCATGCTGACTCTGATCCACTTCCACTTGTGTACTGATCCATTTCAGCACCCTGTGCTTTGTACTGCCAACCAAAACAGTGCCCCAGAAGCTTCTCAAGAGCCTGTCACCATCAGGTGACACAGGGACGTCTGCAGAGGAGTCGCCTCCACTTGCAGAGCCCAGCAGAGGGACACCTCCGCCTTATGCTAACCCTCTCCAGCAGCACTGTTCAGGGAATAAAGATTGTGGTGTATATCTGGCTCCATTAATGAAGCAATTATACTAGTTCCTGGAATAAATAAGAACATTTTCCCTATGAATTTTGCAAAATCCACTTAATGGTGATCCTATGCACATTTATGTGGAAGCAAATAGGCTGCACAGAGGACAAGGGGTTTTGAAAATGCTGTCATAGTTGAACTGTTATATTCAGATAGTTTTTAAACAATATTTATTAATGCCACTGCATATATAATTCACATTATCACCACCAGAAGCTGTGGAGCATACCTTAGAAGCACTATAATACTTGTTAGATAGGATTGGATTAAGCTGAAAATATTAGCTTATTTGCACTTAATGCTATAGATCTATATCTATAGAGCTATATAATGCTATAACATAGATATATAGTAGTGAATTAACAGTAAAATGCAATATCATTGTTAATAATTATGTCACTTATCTGATTACTTTGCACAGATGGAGCTGCAATCTCAACTGCTCGTTAGAAGTAGTAGTTTGCCTAAACAGTAAAGCCTTTCAAAATATATCTGAGAATGCTATTCTTGAAGTCAAATAATACACTGTGTAAAGAGAGAGCAGGAGCATCTATGCTTGATTAATTAGGTTTGTAAGTATTGTTCAAGTACTAAACAATATTTCTAAAGATTTCAATAGTTCAAAGATTGCCCTATGGCAGTCTGGCCAATACATCTTCCAGCACAAACTGTTCACAAGCATTTTTCTTCCCAATATGTTGTCTTTGGTTGGTGCGACATTGTTTGAGTACACTTCTATTTGGGTCAAAGTGGTTTTCTTCGTGTCACAGCAGTGGTGCTGCATACAGCACTTCGACCATACATCTTCCATGTCATTTCAGTCAAAGGCACTTGATGCTTCCTGGTGACCAATCTGGAATGGTCCAGCATTCGAACAGAGGGTCATATTGGCAAATCAAGCTTTTTTAAAAGAAAGAAAGAAAGAAAAAAGACAGGCATTGTTCAAAACTAACAAAAGGACCATTCTGAATATTAACATGTGGCCTTGGGTAAAGGTCACCTGTATGGCACATTCATCATATCTCAGGCCCAGGGTGAGGAAAAGCATCTTACAAATTCTGTCAAAAACAACCATTGTCAAAATAAGTGTTGAAAGCTGACAGCTGACGAGAGAATAATACACTTCTCTGAGTAATGATTTTCTTTCCTCTCTTTTAAAAATCCTCTCTGGCACCCTTTGAAACTGCAACGAATTGTTCCGAGGGTGAACTTTAAGACAAAGGAGCTATTCCTTGCTTTTTGCTGGTAGGGAGTTCTTTTAATTATGCTGTCCAATTATCAAATTAATTTAATAATCTGCCATAATTAGGCCAAGCAGTTTTGCCCTATCCAGAGGGAAGGACTCCAGCAAATCTAACCTCAGCAATGCAGTCAACTATGTGCAAACACATAGAGAGAATGTCATGCCAGTTTGAGTAGTAAATGAAAAGCACAAAACAAGGCTATTCAACTAAGTTTTATTCAGAGTATCCCCAGTTAAGGGACCTAACTTAGTCATTTCATTCATCTCAGTGGGTCTACTCTGAGTAGAATTTAGTTGCATATCACCCACAGAGTATGAGCATGAGTAGCCATTCCTTGGTGTGAACAAGACAGCTGCCTCTGTTAAAGGTGCAGAAAGGACAAAATACATCCAGCTTTTAAAGAAAGCAATAATGTAGTTAAATCACCCTCACTTGCAACACATTTGTATAAAACTTAAATATCCCCACTGAGCGACAAAGAGAGGAAGTATATTGGGTGATCTTGGTCTGGACATTAAATCTCAAACTAATAGACCCCACAATGTTGTCATGAGGACAAAATGGGGTAAGGAGCCGTATCCTCAGTTCATCGGATGAAGAGTGGGATAAAAATGAATAAATACAGAAATATAACAAGGATACTGATTGTTATTGCAAATAAATGTTGTTGTTTGTATTCCTGGGCATAGGAGATGGGATGTAAAGATATGGCTGAAACTGGCTATACAAAGACATTTCAATAGTCATATTTTAATTACAAGGGAAACAATTAATGCTATTGGAATGGAAAAGTCAGTGTAAAGTTTACAAAAATGTACTCTTATCTGGCCTTTGGAACATGCCCCAGGCCACACCTCTCACTGGTTCTGCTTTGCACCATTCAAAGGTCATTCAAAGAAGGTTCAGCAGAGATGATGAGAGAGGAGGTATCAGTGAGTCTAACAGCCCCTAGCAGAGATATGCCAGTGGGCCTCATGAAAGGGGTTTGCGAATTTTGATAGCATTAGCAACAGATCTATTTGTCAGAATCAGGTCATTGGCAGTTTGCTATAACAGAGAGATGGCATGGGCAATTTTAAAAAAGTAGTTTGGGAACTAGAAGTTATGGCAGTATGATCTCTCCACACCTCGAAATGTAGTGGGGTGGGAGTGCAGAGATATCAAAATGCAGGTGCAAGATGGTTCCCCATCTCACTTCTTCCTAGACATTTTTCTCTCAGTGTTGCTCCAAGATCAGAAGTAACTCCCATGGTGAGGGAGCAGGCAGTGGCTGAAATCTCAGAAGAATAAATGCAGGTGGAGGAACAGCTGAGCACCTACTGCTGTCAGGCTTCAGCCCCACTCATACTTGGAACCTGGGATCTCCTTGGAGGTCCAGAGGGAGCTGTCAGAAGAACCAGACATTGCCACCCCAGGACCAGATGTTTTTACCACTAGTCAGCTAGGTTCTGGATCCCTTCTTCATTACCTCCAGAGTCACAGGAATCAAGGATGGCCCAAAACCTTTTGCCACCTGAGGTGAACCACCTCAAAATGGTGGCCCTCCCACCAAGGAACAAGGGTGACATTGTCAAAGCACTATACTAGGTTTGGGAAAGAGGGATTGTGAGTAAATGCCTACTCAGATCAAGGCCTGGCTGCCAGCCAGGAATAGGCAGAGCCTCCAGCTCCTATACAGTTTCACTTTCTTCACTCTCAATCACAGCCTTCTTGAACTGGGGCAATGGACATCGGCTCATGGTGCATTTGAAATTGCACCACACACACGATTCTCCCAGTCCTTCCCCTATAGAAAATTTATGCCACCAGAATTCTGACCAGGGATACTCACGCAACCCTGTGTTCACCTCAGAAAGTGTTTGTGTGTGCTCTACATGAGCTTACAGACTTTCTCAGGACAGGAGAAGGAAAGACAATTAATAAATACAATTTGGACTATAATGTGATCTTTTTATTTTAGTTTTTTATTTTTCTAATTGGAGTATTATGATTGGATATTTAATTGGATGTTTTTTATGGGAAAATCAATAAAAATGATTTATTTGTTTTTTTAAAGGAGAAGGAAAGACAGAAACAGCAGGGTGGTGGATGCTTGCACCATCCATTCCTGCATGGAGAAGGGACTGGGAACTCATATCCCGCATTCCCTGGTGAGAAATGAATGTGAATAGTGTAAACAGCCACTTCCACTTTCTTCCAAGAGCACAAGAAAAACCCAGGAACCCCACAACCTGAACGCAACAGCACTCTCCCCACCTGTGATTCCCAGCAGCTGGTATTCAGAGGAATACTGCCTCTGACAGCAGAGGCAGAAAATAGCCGTCATGGTGACTAGTAGCCACTGATAGCTTCATGAGTTTGTCCAATCCTCTTTTAAAGCCATCCACATTGGTGGCAGTCACTACTTTTGATGTGAATTCCATTGTCTAGCTTTTGTTTGACTTGAATCTTCCAATGTTCGGTTTCATTGGCTTTCCCAAAGTTCTAGTATTTTTAGTGAGTGTGCTGGTCCCGGGGGGTTATGGTGCAGCGTGGTCCAAGTCCAGTCCGAGGTCGAGGGTGTGGTATGGGGGCTGTCCGTCAAGGCTGAAGCGGGGTCCAAGGCAAGGAGTCGGGTGAGGTCAGGAACTCTGGCAGAAGAGCAGGACAGGGTGCCGGCAGGAACAGGTTACCAACAATGTTGCTCCCGCAACCTGGGACTGGGCTGGCTGGCTTTTATCTCCTCTGAGGCATAGGGCGGCCCCAGTCCACAGGTGACTCGCCTCTCCTGGCCTGGGGGCGAGCACTCCTCCTGTGAGAACTTAGTTCCCTCCGCCTCTCCGCCCTGAGCCTCTGCAGCTCAGGGAGGCTTGGAGGGTTACTGGACCCAGAGGCAACCTCACCTTCCCCTGACAGGGCTGAGAGTGGAGCACCTGCAGGCAATGAGTCCTCGATCACCTCCAGAGCCAGAGCAGATTCAGCTGGTGTCTGCTCCTGAAGATCCAGCACAGGTGAGGGCCCTTCAGGTTCAAGCTCAGCCGGTCCTGGAGGCGGGGACTCCTGTGCAGGCTGGGATTCCTCAGGTTCAGCCTCTGAATCTGATTCCCAGGCCATCACAGTGAGGGAGAAAAACTTTTCTATAGTTTCTTTGTCTAGACCATGCATAATTCTGTATACCTCTATCATGTTCCTTATTACTCATCTTTTCTCCAAACTAAACTGCCCCAGGGAAAGTCTACAGGCCCTGGAGTGGGCAGGTGAAGGGAATGGTGGTAGTGGAGGCAGGTGCTTGAAGACACAAACCTACTTGCAAGAAGTCAAAGAGGGGCATCTGCTGTTGCTTTTTTCCAGTTTCTCATGACATCTCTGATTCTGACACATGGCTCATATCACCATATCTACTTGTCCTTCTTTCTTCTTCTTTGGTGATCACTCGTAGCCGAGTAAGATTGTCTTCCATAAACACGGTTTTAACAATGAGTCCGGCGGTGACTGTGGAGGCCAATTCTGGATCCACATGTCCTTCCACAGTGGGGACATTGATTTCCGGGTGGGAGTTGATCACGGTGTGGATCATACTACACTTAACATGGAAAAAAGGATGCTTGTTTTCCTTTTGCTCAGGATAGTCTGGAAAGGGTGGGACTAAAAATCTTTTAACCCATATTACCACTGTCAACCGCACTTAACTAAAATTTCATTCACTTTCCATGAATAGCCTGAATTAATCTGATTCACTTTTACAGAAACAAGAAGTCCAGAAAAAAATCTTCCTTGCAGTTTTCTCCTTCTTCCACACTTGTCAGTCTTGAGAACAACGTTAAATCCAGATAGCATACAAGTTGCAAGTGCAGATGATGTTCTGGTCCTGTGATTGTTACCCTTCCTTCTTAAACTCTATTGTGGGTGGTGGGAGGGGAAAACAGGAAGGGGGTACACTCCCCCACTCCCAGCTTGAACATTCTGAATCTAAAACAGCTCTTATCTTAACTTGCCTATGTGCAATTTACAAACGGGAAGAGAACAAATAGCAAGTAATTTAAATTTAAATTTAAAACCTCCTCTGTTTTCTTATCCCTTATCAAACTGCCAGCATTTTCCCCTCTAACAATGAGCTGAGTGTCACTGGTATAGCACAACCCCCACACACACATCCAACACACACACACCCCAACCACAAACCAAGTAATCTCTTTCATCTAAAACCCCTGATCCCTTTAATAAACAAAATACGAAAAGGCAGTCACAATTACGCCCTGCTTTATGAAAGAAGCAGGGAAATCCTGGGAGTACAATCCCCTGCTTGTTATTTTTCACAGGCCATGTGACCCAAAGTCATTCTGAAGGATAAAAAGGCAAGGGCAGCCACCAGATCCCTGCCATGATTTTTCCACAATTCCCAGCCTTAGTCCATCTGTTATTCAGAAGCCAAATGAATGGCATGTGTCAAGAGAGTCATCGCTGTGCAAACTGCTCAAAGAGCAGCCAGCCAACTTCCTTTTGCTTCCATGGCTTCAGCAATTGTTGCTGAGCCGGCCACCATATGGTGAATAATTAGTTTTTCGACCCCACTCTAGAAAAACGCTCATTCCATTGCCAGGCCTATGTGCATTAATGAACAGCAGATGACGAATGCCTGTACATTAACAAAAGTTTGGTGTTTTTTTTAAAAAAAATATTCAGCAGTAGCTCGTAGCCTAATCAAGTGACTGAGAGTACCAAAATAATTGTATTTTTGAGATTGGGGGGGGGGGAAATACTAAAGCCACCCCTATTATATTTTTTCTTTTTAAAAAGTCTGGCTCTGTTGATGTGCCTGCATCATTCTGTAGCCTAGAAATGTTGAAACCAGTAGACACGGTGTGTAAGCATAAGGAGAGTCCTGCTGGTTCAGACCAAAGCTCCGTGAATCCAGCGTCTTCATTCACACTTCCTCTGGGAAGTCCGCTAGCAAAGCCTGGACAGCCCTTCCTCACTGTTGCTCGCCAACAACTGGCAATCAGTGGCACTGCTCAGCCAAAATCTTCAACTCTCCTCATCACAGCAGCACTACATCATCATATAATGTCTTTCCGTGAAACTGAGGATCCTGGAAAATGGCATGGCTGGTTGGCTGGCAGAGTGAACAGGAACACATTCTGCACTGCAATATCGTGCAGAGGGTCCCACTTGTCAATACTATTATCCTTCATCGTTATTGTATGTTATACAGTCTAGCAAGTTCTAGAGTTTCTCCTGGCCCTTCAGAGCAGAATTGGGGGCACAACTCAATGAATTTATATTTCAGACTGAAATCACTGTTGTGGAATCATCTTACTAAATACAAATGACAGCATCCAGAAATTAATGGATATGTATTCAGAGGACACAGATTCTGTTAAAATAGTGAAACTTGCTGTGTTTTTGTGAAGTGAGGACTTTATATCACCAATATCTTAGACTCCACTTTATGAGCTTGTTACTGGTGGTTTGCACACCACATTTCCTAACACAGAGGCAATTCTTGAACATTTGTAAACATTGCTCATATCAAATAGTTTTATTAACCACAAAATTTGGGATCCCCTCCAAACTGGTGCCAAGGTTTTGTATTGATTTTGTACCATTTTGTACCACAAAGCCCGAATTTTGTACCGCCCTAATAAAGCTATGATGCAACTGGTGAAAGTTTATTCAACAGCCTTAAAAGAATAAAAAACTACTTGCATTCTACCATATATGGTCAAGAGAATTTAGCGAGTTCAGCAGCCTTAGTGATTGAAGGTTCTGCATTGCGAGATGTACATAAATTATGACAAGTTAATAAACAATTAGGGACGCGGGTAGCGCTGTGGGTTAAACCACAAAGCCTAGGGCTTGCGGTTCGAATTCCTGCGACAGGGTGAGCTCCTGTTGTTCGGTCCCAGCTCCTGCCAACCTAGCAGTTCGAATTACACATTAAAGTGCAAGTAGATAAATAGGTACAGCTCCGGCAGGAAGGTAAACGGCGTTTCCGTGTGCTGCTCTGGTTCACCAGAAGCGGCATAGTCATGCTGGCCACATGACCCGGAAGCTGTATGCCAGCTCCCTCGGCCAGTAAAGCAAGATGAGTGCCACAACCCCAGAGTCGTCCACGACTGGACCTAATGGTCAGGGGTCCCTTTACTTTTACCTTCAGTCAACAATTGTGTGTGAAGGAAATGCCAAAAATACAGGCCATTTTCAGACATACTCATGTTCTATATAGGTGAATGGTTAGAGGGGGGGAGGGTTGTGCCCAATGGACCATAAATCCACCACTGGTTAGAGTACAGAGTTCACTCTCTCTATATATCTCGCATAGTCTCTAGCTTGTGGCCCTAAACTAGTCAGCAGCTTCTGGTGCAATGAAGGATGCTATCCTGCCACTAGTGCTGAAATAAAATTCAACTGCCATTCCATTCAGCTTCTATATGTGAAGCAGGGAGGAGCTGCCATCTTGCCTTTCACCAGCAAATATAATTGGCCAGCCCTGGATGAGGCTGCACTGTATTATTCAGCCCTCCCACCACTCTACAAATTACTTTTCAACATTTGCTTCCGGAGAATATAAAAAATGGGGAGTTTTGAAATGAAATTAATTTTAGAAAACGTGTCAGAAAAAAATCTTCTAAATTCCCACTGTGTGCTATCTAGTCAATACACAATGCCATTCAAATGTAAAAAAATCTCATCAAGTGAATGTAGTAAACAAAAAAGATCTCTACAAAGCATGATATTAAGACATTCCTAAGGCCTTTCTTGAATAGCTATCAATATCTTTTAAAAAATGCAAAAAGGTTTTTCATTTTCCATTTCAAAAAGAATATATTTCAAAGTCATTATGTAGTTGAGTGATTTTTAAAAGGCTCATAGAGACAGGCATACAATAATTCATGACCTGCATGTTAATAGCATTTGTGAAGCCATAACGATACATTGAGAGCAACAGGAATATCTTACATTATTTTATTTGTAGTTTATTATAGCTTGGCTGAGTGCTTGCTTTAGGTACCCAAACTATGATTTTGTTTATAAAATAAGTCTTTAAAACACACACACACACACACACACACACAAACACACACACACATATCAAAGGGCCAAATTCTGCCTTGGTTAAAGTCAATGCAAGTTTAGACCTGCCTCCAATACAAATCAAGATCTCATCTTTCTCTGTAAAATGCTGGACCCATTTGATTAATGGAAAAGGGTCTTTGATGGAGAAAAGGGCTGAAGTGAAACTGTTGCCAGAGAAGGCAACCCTGGCATTCTGCCAGGGATTTTAGGGCTAATGCTAATTTGCATGTAAGGGAGGAAATTGCAACTGCCATCCTCTTCTATATGAAGGTATTGTTGGCTCTAATCTAGACAGCACATCACATGTGAGATTTCAATAAACGATATGTCACATTTCCTTATTAAAACTGAAGTCAAGTTACAGGAAGGCATCCCGTGCTGGCTATCACCAGAGAGTTTTTAAAAAGCTATATAGACAATCACATCAAATCCTCTGCAATGCCAAGATTCTCACATCAAGCCATTATCAGCGCGCGGGGGGGGGGGGAATCATTTACCTCCTCCATTTGTTTTCATTCTTAAAAGTGTCATTTATTTTGTTACTTATTCGTTTGCATTTCATTCATATTCATAAATGATTCCTAGCTAGTACATTCATTTTATTGATTGCCATCTGATTCTGATTCTCCTCCTTCTTTGTAACACTTCGCTGATGTGTTCTAGCAGGGCTCTAACTAGACCAAATGGGGGGGAAAGGATTCTCATTCAGAATCAGAAGTCATTCATTTGAATTCCCATCCGTTTCTATAACTAAAACAAAACAAGCAAAGTTTGTTTGTGTTGTTTTGTTTAATTTGCGTAGTGGTTAAGAGCGGTAGTCTCGTAATCTGGGGAACCGGGTTCGCGTCTCCGCTCCTCCACATGCAGCTGCTGGGTGACCTTGGGCCAGTCACACTTCTTTGAAGTCTCTCAGCCCCACTCACCTCACAGAGTGTTTGTTGTGGGGGAGGAAGGGAAAGGAGAATGTTAGCCGCTTTGAGACTCCTTAAAGGGAGTGAAAGGCGGGATATCAAATCCAAACTCTTCTTCTTCTTTTTGTTTTCAAAATGAACACACACTCCCTAAAGGGGAAATCGGAGAAACTTCAGTGGCAAGTTGATCTTTCCCAAGCTGTCTATTATATACACCTGCAATTCATTCTTTCATGGATGTTAATAATTTGTCCCAATCAAGTTTATGTAGAGCCAGGAGAAAAATGGCAGCAGGCAGGGGGCTGTAGCTAATGATGATGATGATGCATTAAGTCAGGCCAGGGTTTCCCCAACTTGGGTCTCCAGCTGTGGTTGAACTAAAATTCCCATCAACCCTGACCACTGGTCCTGCTGGCTAGGGATGATGGGTGTTGTAGTCCAACTACAGCTGGCTACCCAATTTGGGAAACCCTGAGTCAGGCTATACTACAGACTGCATATAGGACTGCATGAGCCACTCCATCAGCTCCGCTGAAAGACCAGCTTCAACAGACACCTTTATGCTATGTCTATAGCAGATGGAAAGAGACCAGGTCTGTTTAGCTCCTTCTCTTCCTGAACTGTTTCCTGTCAAGCTGGTCATTTATAAGAACTCCGCAACTTTAAGAGTAGGAGTTTGCTTATTTTCCTTTTTCCTTTGGTGTCCTGCCTAAGGGCAGGCGCTCCCTTCTTCATTACTGATCTTATGTAAGCTGCTCTGGAAACCTTTTGGCCTGAAGAGTGAGGCAAAAATGCTTTAAATAAATAAATACAGCTTCCATATTATAAATTTCAGCCAAATGTGTACTGCCCTTTAATGGCACCTCAAAATGTCTTGCCCTGGTATAGTCTGCCACATCCTGTAAAATTCTTTGGCGATCACTCGTAGCCGAGTAGGATTGTCTTCCATGAACACGGTTTTAACAGTGAGTCCGTAAGTGACTGTGGAAGCCAATTCTGGATCCACATGTCCTTCCACAGTGGGGACATTGGTTTCCGGGTAAGAGTCACAGTAAGGGTTTGCCAAGCCTGCCTTCCTCTTAGCATATTTCTCCCTATCGTCCAGAATTTGAGTGTTTTCAAAGTCCATGACACCTTTGGTAAAGGCTGTTCTCCAACTGGAGCACTCGCAGGCCAGTGTTTCCCAGTTGTCGGTGTTTATACTACATTTTAGATTTTCCTTGAGAGAGTCTTTAAACCTCTTTTGTTGACCACCATCATTGCGCTTTCAATTTTTAAGTTCAGAATAGAGTAGTTGCTTTGGAAGACAATAACCTGGCATCCGCACAACATGACCAGTCCAACAAAGTTGATGTTGAAGAATCACTGCTTCAACACTGGTGACCTTTGCTTCTTTCAGTACACTGACATTAGTTCGCCTGTCTTCCCAAGTGATGTGTCAATTTTTTCAGAGATACTGTTGATGGAATCTTTTGAGGAGTTGGAGATGGCGTTTATAAGGGGGTCCATGTTTTGCAGGCATACGGTAAGGATCCTGTAAAATACTAGGAGGCCGACATGCACATTGCTGTCATTTATAATATGGATTGTGTCACTATACTGCTATAAGGAAAATGCCAAGAGAAGAAGGATGGACATAAGGAAATGCTATAAAGGAAGAAAAACATTGCAAAGATTACAAAAGGTTCTAGATTGTATTTTATTTTAAACGAAGCACATGTCCACCTTGGGTATCCAGAGTGCTGCTATTGTCCATTTGGACACCATCTCCTTGATCTCAGAATGAATTAGATGGTCTGCACATGGTGTTGGGTCAAAGAGAAAGATCAGGGATGTTGCTGATCTAGTGACCACCCCATTGCCTGGCAGCATCCCTGATCAGGCTGGCCAAGGTGATCTCTGAAGCATTGTTAGAAGACCCTCAAATTATAATCCTGGGTGACTTCAATATTGACGCAGAGGCTGCTGACAAACCAGCTCAAGATTTCATGGCCTTCATGACAACCATAGGCCTCTCTCAGATGGTCATTGGTCCAACATACCAGGCAGGGCACAGTCTTCATGTGCTCTTTGCCCCAGGTGATATGATGGATGGACTGAAGATAGGGGGATGGGTTGCATTCCCCCTTAAGGAGCAGATTTTTAGTTTGGGGGTGCTTCTGGATCCAGCTCTGATACTACAGCAATTCCTGGAGTGGGAATGCCTTGCCACAGTAGTTCCTACGTTGGTTACTTCAATACTGGATTACTGCAATGCACTCTATGTAGGGATTCCCTCGCGCTTGATCAGGAAGCTGCAGTTAGTGCATAATGCTGCAGCACAATTGCTGACAGGAAGTGGGGCCTTGTCAGCATATGACACCTGTGCTCAGAGATCTGCACTGCTTGCTGATTTGTTCAAAGTTTCAGTATTAGTATATAAAGCTGTTACCAACCTGGGACCAGTTTACCTACAACATCACCTTACCCCTCATGTGCCCAATCAACTGCATCGATCAGTGGAACTGGCAGAACTACAGGTGTCACATAATACCTGTTCTGCATTTGTAAGAACTCATTTAGTGTGGCAGCGCTTACACTTTGAAACTCCCTGCCTATTGAGACCAAGCAGGCACCTTCACTGTACTTTTTATGGTGCCCACTAAAAATATTCTTGTTTAGGCAAATCTACCCAGATGCTTAGAAAGTTAATGTTTTAGTATTTAAACTTGTGTATGTTTTAAGTATGGTTGTGATTTTTCTTGATTTAACTTGTTTATCTTTTGTAAACCACTTGGAGGTTTCTTTTAACAATCAAGTGGTATATACATTTTATGAAACAAATAAATAATAAATCAGTAATGAGGAATAGAATCCAAGTATATTCTTAGCTGTAGAATTCTGCGCAGTTTTTGAAGGAATCATTGCAAATACTTGAAACAACGTGAAACCTTTTACCACAGTCTAAATAAAAATCTAACTGACTCGAAAATGCCGCAAAATGCAGGAAGCATAACTTACTGGAGGAGATTTCTCTAAGTCTCAGTGCCTACGATACTCATATAAATGCCCTCTCTTTTGTTCAAGTACAGCTCCAAATCATAACAATAAAAGAAAAATACAAAGCAGGGGAGGCACCAGGGAGTGAATGCAACAGTGTTTTATTAATCCATGTGATTAATCCAGCATGCTGAGGAAGATTCTTTACAGAATCGAAACGTTAATGTTTTTGATCCACATGGATTAAGGAAATACTGTTGCATTCACTCCTCGGTGCCTCCTCTGCTTTGTGCTTTGTGCCTTTTTTTAAAATTCTTTAGAAACTTGCAGGGACAAAGAGGGAGCATTTATAGGAATACAGCAGCGTGGGGACTTTGATAACCGCCCTACTTCCCGCCCCACGTAGATACGATGCGTCCAGAATTTTATTTCAGAGGTTCAAGCCTGCAGTTTGAATTTTGCATCATTCCCTGAGAACTAAACTATGAGAAAACAAAAGGATTAAGAGAAATGGCTGCACCTTCTTTGAGAGTGCAGACTTCACAAATCAGACGCTGTGCAGTAATCAAGCAATGATTGTGTACAATAATTAGTTGCTGCTTTTAAAATTTGGAGAATTAGTACCTTCTAATAATTAAAGAGATAAAAACTGGGTTGTTCTAACAGGACAGTATTCACACATGAATGCTAGCAGGTCCACTTCACTTAATCCAAAACTGGACCTCTTTTAATTCATTTTGAATTCAATATATGACATAAATGTCTTGCATCACTCATGCCCTTCAATACGAAGTGGCCCAAAACCAGGATGCAATATTCCAGGGCAACACTCCCATGCAAGTTATGTGACCCGTGTGAGATTAAGGCCCCCCCAAAAAAACACTTCTGGGTGGCATGGCATGGAAAATCACATTTTGCAGCACCACGCAAGTTTGCTACCCCAAAATTGTGTGAGATTGCAGAGGCCATTTTGGCCACTGTCCTCTCGTGGGGGAAAATGGGATGTTCCTTTTTCCTAGGGAAGTTGACAGGCATTACCACTGTGACTGAGCCTTGATCTCCAAATTAAACTAAAGAGCCCTTCTAGCTGTCCCTGAAAACCAAGTGGGCTTTTAAACTGAATGCTCATAAACCTTACTTGCTCTTTCCAATTCAGTTCACCCTCCCCAAGCAACAACAACAAAAAGTTTTCGCTTCGAGAAAGGTGAGGTGGGGGAGGCCCCAAGATGAAAAGGCCCGTTGGGATATTAATCTATCGTAATCACTCTGTTGGCCATTCAAGAGTAGAATATAACTTTTAAAATAAATTTATAAATAATCATGTCTTCCTTGCCTGGCCAACTCTGTGTAGCAAAAGGCCCCCATAATGATGTCGAAAAAAATATTGATTCTCACTTAACCCTGCATTGCAGCTGTACTGTAAAGTATAGCATCCTATTCAGGTAAAAATGCTGTAGCATAAACTAGTTTTCGAAGAATGAACTGAGCATCAGAAGGGGACAATAGTATCTAAACCTACTGCTGAATGGCGCATAAGGATGCAGGAGAAGTAAACTACCCATATATACTTGAATATAAGCCGAGGCACCAAATTTTACCACAAAAAACTGGGAAAACTTATTGACTCGAGTATAAGCCTAGGGTGGGAAATGCCAACAGTGGCAAAGGCGGAGGAGGAGGAAGGAGCAGCCCAAAAGGGCTGCTTTCGGGCTGCTCGTTCCTCCTCCTCCGCCAACAACAGCCTCTGTTGCTCGCAAGGGCAGGCACAGGAGCCGCACTTGGCAGAGCGGCGGTAGCACGTGGCAGCAGCAAACAGTAAGTGGGACCCTCACTCGAGTATAAGCCGAGTGGGGCTTTTTCGGCATAAAAAATGTGCTGAAAAAGTCGGCTTATACACGAGTATATGCGGTAATTAATGCTCAAGTAACCATGGAAGTAAGGACAAAGAAAGAAAAAGATACGTATGAATGTACCCACGAGATGTGTCTTTGGCAGGAAAAAGTCAGGAGTCAGGCAAAGCATTGTTTTCACTAGTCTATCACACAACAAAGCCCTTAAAGATGAATACCACTTTAAGAGCACAATTAAGTGATCCCTATTGAGGGGGGGAAATGGGACGCAGGTGGTGCTGTGGTGTAAACCACTGAGCCTTGGGCTTGCCGGTCAGAAGGTCGGCGGTTCGAATCCCCGCAACGGGGTGAGCTCCTGTTGTTCGGTCCCTGCTCCTGCCAACCTAGCAGTTCGAAAGCACGTCAAAGTGCAAGTAGATAAATAGGTACCGCTCCAGCGGGAAAGTAAACGGCGTTTTCGTGCGCTGCTCTGGTTCGTCAGAAGCAGCTTAGTCTTGCTGGCCACATGACCCGGAAAAACTGTCTGCGGACAAACGTCGGCTCCCTCGGCCAGTAAAGCGCGATGAGCGCCACAACCCCAGAGTTGTTCGCAACTGGACTTAACAGTCAGGGGCCTTTTACCTTTTTTTTATTGAGAAAAATGCAAAGTACCCATTTAGCTATAACACTGGAATGGTCAGTCTTCTTGATTTCGGCAGGAATAGAGAACATATTACTACGTATTATTCACAAAGTGCCTTCTAAACAGCAAAAGCAAAGGACAGCTACCTTCCCACAAGGCACATACAATCTAATTTGCAATGCAGGATGAGTGCTGAGGAATCAGAGATGGAGAACCTGTAACCCTCCAGAAGTTGTTGGATCCCAGCTTCCATTGTTCCTGACCATTGGCCCAGACACACCTGCAGGTTCCCCACCCAGCCCTTGTAAAGATGTTGCTAAGCTTGGAACATGAACAAATATGAGAAGTTGCCTTATTCAGAGTCAGGGCATTGGTCCATCTAGCCTAGCAGCCCTCTAACTACTCAGTCACAAAGCTCTCCAAGCTCTATTACCCAAGATCCTTTTCTAGGAGATGTGGGAACTGATCCTTTCTGCATGCAAAGCATACCCTCTACAACTGTGCTACAGCTTCTCCTCAAAGTGCAACTCACATGGTAAATGACCACTCAAGACCACTAATGTTTGATGTAGTATTCTTGTCCCTGATTTCAGAAATCTAGCTCAATCATAACGACTAGATACATGATCTATCTACCCCTAATATACAGCACTACACACACAGGAAGATAGATGTTCCCTACCACTACCACCATTTATACCAACACCACCATTCTTACACATTGTGCTAAGTACACTGAATATAAGAAGTTCCAGTGGCCCACCTAGTCCAGCATCCTGTTCTCTGGCCACCCAGATGCCTATGGGAAACGTGCAAGCAGGACCCAAGCACAAAATCACTCTCCCCTCCTGAGTTTTCCTGAAACTGGTATTCAAAAGCATTACTTCCTCCAGCCATGGGAGCACAGCATAGACACCATGGTTAGTGTCTCTAGCTGTTCCTGAAAATTGGGGGGGGGGGTCCCCAAACCCAAACAGTGTGGTATTCAACAATCCTGCTCTTCTCTGATTCTCATGGTGTACAGACTACATATACTTCTGATGCTTTACAGTTGTTACCGATAGCAGATTTAAATATGTTTAGGGTACACACCATATATTTTGTCAGCCACTTGTAAAGTTGCATTATTGTCACAGTGTGCAATATGTGTAAGCTTTCCTAAATGTAAGCCTCTTACACAGAAAGGGCTTCCCACTATGAACCAGAGCCTCTTCTCGGCAATCACTCTGAGATAAACTATAGCCTTTAGTATATAGAGAAAAATTCCCATTGTACTTTCCTTTTGGCCTGGCACTGATCCTCCTTTGAAGCTGAAGACAGCAGAGAAAATGTCTTACTCCTTGCTGAGTAAATATTTGACCCCAGATTGGAAGCAATGAACAAACTGGACCTTCTGCTTTTCAGAGACAGTTAATAGCTCAGTGGTAGAGCAAATGCTTTGCATGCGAAAGGTCCCAGGTTCAATCCTTGGCATCTCCAGGTAGGGGGAGAAAGAATCCTTCTGAAACCCTGCAGAGCTACTGCCAGTCAGTGTAGACAATACTGAGCATGATGGACCAACAGTCTGATTCCATTTAAGGCAGCGCACTATAACACCTCCTGCTGAGTTCTAACAACCCAAAGGTATTGTCATGGCCCTGAATGTCAAGCTGCAGCATTCAGGAAGTTCTGCATAACTTGTTTGTTAGCCAATGAAACTTTTATGTATTAAACATACAAAGAAGAACAATCCCAATAATGCACATTAAACCAATCAGCACGTTCACCGATTATTCCAAAAATAATGCAAAGTATTTGGAACAGTGTGTTGAGGCCTTGGGAAATGCTCCATATCTTTATGGGGGTGTTATTATATTAATTGTGCTATTAAAAAACATATATGGGAAAAACTTATTTGGGGCACAGCCCTAATATATTTTATCTGCCACCTAACTTAACTTGATTGAGTCTTGGAAGATCTGTTTCCTGCTTTGCAGACCTTTTTTGACCTGGCCTGGGAAGGTGGGGCTGACTGACTGACTCGTGCTACAAAAGCTATGGTTGTTGAACAGATGTTTGGGCTGGGGTATTGGGGGGTTCTTGGAGGGGAGTTGTTGCTGTTATTGATATTGATTTTTATCTTTATTTTAGATCTTATGATCTATGTAGAAATTGTTCAATTTGGGTTGTGTATTTTTTGATGTTTCATTTATTGTTTTTGACTACTTTTGTAATGTTGTAATTATGTATTTGTTCATGTTGTTAGCTGCCTTGAGCATGGTTTGAACTAAGGAAAGGTGGCATTCAAATAAAACAGTATGTATGTACATGTATGTATCTTAAATCCCTTTCTCTTGCACTATGATGACCTATCCAATGCATTTGTACCATTTACACTCTCTTTAAGACTGCAATCCTATACATGGGGCTAGGAGTGAGTCTCATTGAACTCAACGGAACTTACTGGTACTTCTGAACAGATAGATATAGGACTGTTTCTTATTGTTATTTATTAAATTTGTATACCGCCATTCATCCATAGATCTCAGAGTGGTTCACAGCATAAAAATACAAGATAAAAACACAAGACACATAATAAAAACAAGAAGACCAAAATCAAACAACCCCTTCCCACCACCAGTAGTAACAATTGGTAAGGCTATCCCTGTTCAAATAAGGGTGTGGCTGCCAGAAGCACCCCTAAGGTTCTTCAGATGGAGTGTAATCCCATCAACAGCAGGCAACCTCCCATCCATCCGGTCTAGGGAACCACCCACTAAAAGTGCCTCAGTCTTATCTGGACTGAGTTTCAGTTTGTTGGCTCTCATCCAGTCCATTACTGAGACAAGACAATGGTCCAGCACACCTGCAGATGTGAAGGAGAAATAGAGTTGTGTGTCATCCGCATATTGCTGACAACGCTCTCCAGACCTCCGGATACCCCCACTCAATGATTTCATGTAGATGTTAAACAGCAAGGGAATAAAAACAGGCCCTGAGGAACTCCATATTGAAGATTCCAAGAGGCCAAAGAACTCTCCGAGCATCACCTTCTGGAAACATCTATCCAAGTAGGACTGGAACTACCGCAAGGCGGTCCCACCCACCCCTAACTCAGACAGCTGCTCCAGAAGTACACCATGGTTGATGGTATCAAAAGCTGCTGTGAGCTCAAGAATTAACAGGGACACATTCCCTCTGTCTCTTTCCCAACAGAGGTCATCATACAAAGTGACCAAAGCCGTTTCTCTGCCAAAACTGGGCCTAAACCCCAACTGAAATGGATCTAGAAAATCAGTTTCTTCCAATAGTGCCTGGATCTGATTCGTGATCACCCGCTCAAGAACCTTGCCCAGGAAGGGGAGATTGGCAACTGGCTGGTAGTTACTTAGATTTTCCAAATCCAGGGAGGGTTTCTTGAGGAATGGTGTTACCACTGCCTCCTTCAAGCAGGCAGGGACCATTCTCTCTTGCAGGAAGGCACCTCCCTGGCCCGCAGGATGCCTAACTTCTCTAAATGTTGCAAAAATAGTTTTCAACAGTTTACACATCATAAAATATGTATTTCAGTATGTATTTGGAAGCAAGTAGCTTTTAAATACACATTATAAGAAGTCTTTTAAAAAATCACAGATTAATATGGAAAAACTGAATGATATTATGAGTAAACTGTGCTATAGTAGTACAGGCTAAATTCAGGCGATCCACCCACCCCTGTTTTGAATTTCATTGTATCTGCTCCATTACTGATAATCTGCTTTGAATTTTCTTGGGAGGCTAATAATGTTTTGCAACATGCCATGATACAGCAATGTACAAAAAGAAATTTAAAAATGGGTGTGATTCAACTAATGAGTCCCAGCTGCGGAAGCCCATCCAAGGACTTTTGCTTGCACCATGGGACTTTCCCATGGTTGATGGTATCAAAAGCCACTGTGAGGTCAAGAAGTAACAGGGACACAGAACCCTCTGCCATTGGCACAGAAGTGTCCAAAGATCCCCCAAAACAGCATATAAGGGAAGGAGAAGGAAGATTGTTCTGTCTGACAAGCTGAAATGCTTGCCCTGTCAGAACAATTGACACAGTGCGACATTTAATTCCTCCCATTATATCTTAAAAGGTGAGTTTTTTATTTTAAAAAATCATTGTAATGAGATATGCCTTTAATTATTCTTTTTCCATTATAGATGAACTAAAAACAAGGCTTTACATGCTACTCATCAACCTCTTTCAACAAGGCAGACTTCCTCACCACCAGAACAGTAAATATTGATCTTCTTGGCCAACGGTATACTGTACCTCATACTGCATGGACAACTTAAGCATCTGCTTGTTACCACAAGCTACCTCCTTTTGTCAGAAAATAAAGCCAAGTGGCATTATACACTATCAGTTTCACATAGCAAATATTGAAGAGAAATAAATTTCTCAGCATGAAAGATGCCATCTTTAGATTTCCTTTCTGAAGTAGTGTTTACTTTGGGCCTACGCACACTTCAGGCACCCGTACTGTTCAGTTTTTTGTTTGCCAAGATCATTGTGGCTTCCTGGATTGTTTTTTTAAATTATCAATGTAGGTTGAAGAGGTAGAGTTCATTCAATTTTTTTTAAGGAGACAATGACATTCACCAGCCTACACACATATGTACACATGTGTAGCCACCTCCTGGAAGCTTCCAGGACTGCAAGGTTCCAGCAGCCAGAGATGTCCTAATGAAGTGAGAGATGAAGCAGTTGTGACTTCTCCCTCACTCTCTTTCCCCTGTTCCTGTTCTTTCATCCCTCAGCTGTGTGGTGTGACAAGCAGAACACTGTGGAGAAGCCATGTCTGCCTTTACAGCTGGCGTAAGTAGGCAATGCATCATAGAACTGTAGAGTTGGAAATGCCCACAAGAATTATATAGTTCAACCCCTTGCAGTGCAAGAATATTTCACTCAACATGGGACTCAAGCCCACAACCCTGAGATTAAGAGTCTCATGCTCTACCAACTGAGCTATCCCTCAGGATGCCATCAACCATGATATCCTATTGGAGCGCCTGTCTGAGTTGCGGGTGAGTATCTTAGGAAACTGCCAAAGTCCCACTACTGCCAATGCCAGTCATCTGGGCCTCCTTTACTCATGCTTCAGTGAGCACCAAATGGTTGATGATGTAATTGAATAAAATGCCCTGGAGGCATTGAATACAATTCCGCAAGGGATCATGGGGAATTACAGTGTTAGTCACCCAGCACTCAGAGGAGGAGTGCCACTTCCTCTACTACCACGGTCCTCCTCCCTGTATGTCCAGTTACCCAGACCACATTACTGGATGAATGGGCAGTTAAATGGCAAATGCAATTCAATGTAAGGAAGTGTGATCTTTCCCTTTATTGTAAGCAAGTTTAACTTGTAAGCAAATTAATGTGAGCAAGGTTATCTTTCTTCTACTGAGCAACCTGTGAACCGCTTCAAGACAATGGAAATTAAGCAGAATAGAAAATGATTTAATAAATAAATCTAGTGATGCACATTGGGGCAAAAAAATAATAATCTTAAATTTGCATATATGCTTATAGGGTCTTAACTAGTGGTGACTAAGACCTTTAGGTTGTAGTGGTTGGCTTGCTGAAGATGTGCAGCAGCTGTGAAAAGGGTGAATACACTGGCAGGGACCAATAGGCAAGGGATGAAAATAAAACTGACAATATCATAATGCCATTTATACAAATCCGTGGTGCGACCACATTCTGAATAGTGCACATATTTCTAACACATCTCAAAAATGGTATTGTACTGCTGGGAAAGACTTTTTAAAAGCGACCAAATGATCAAGGGGCTGGAACAACTCCCCCATAAGGAAAGGTTATAACATAAGTAGAAACTTATGCACATCATGGAGAAAGTGGGTAGGGAAAACTTTTTTTTCATTTCTCATGAAATTAAAATTTAGGGACATTCAATGAGACTGAACGTTGGAAGATTCAGGATAGACAAACCAATAACTTCTATACCCAGTGCATAAACTGAATGAATGACCATCAACTTGGATGGCTTTAAAAAGAGGGTTAGGATATCAGTGGCTACTAGACATGGTAGCTATGTTTTACCTCTGCTTGTCAGAGGCTCTATGCCTCTGAACATCGGTTGCTGGAAATTGTAGGTGGGGAGAGCACTGCCGCACTCAGGTCTTCCATAGGCATGTGACTGGTAACTGCAAAAAGCAGGATGTTGGACTAGATGGACCTTTGGGCTGATCCAGCAAGGTTTTTCTTCTGTTCTTATGGTGGAAATATTAGAAAGGGAGGGGCTGAAATGGGGCTCCTCAAGACACCATGCCGAGGGCTGCTAAGAGCCTCCACAAACCTGGAGCCAGCCCTGGCAACCTCATCTCATGCTGCCTTGTAGAATTTAAAAGTTCAGCACAGGACCTTCCACTTGCAACCTGGTAATACTAACTGTAAAAGAAAAAAACAAAAAAGCTAGAACCAGATTCAAAAGGATGGGGGCCATTAAAAAATTCATATCAATTGCCTTTTTTGTTTTGGATTCTCCTGGCCCAAGCCATCTTTATCTAAAGAAAGTGAGATGGATAGAAGAAAAACTGAGTAATCATGAAAGATAACCACCCCGACTAAAGTATAAGTGAAAATACTTTTAAAACAGCAAGCAAAAGTTTCATTAAGATGATTGCTCCTTGAGTACCCTCCGTGGCAAAACAGTGGCTGCCATCCCAGAGATCTTACTACATACAAAAATCAATCTCAATTATATATGTTATAGCTTGCATATATTTTTTCTAAAAAAGAAAATTAAATTGCTTTATTACTCTCTCTCCCTTTCTCAAAAAGCATACCTACAATTGAACTGAAAACTGCTGCAGTTAGCCAACGTCGACTGCGCTCTCATTTAAGAGTTATTATGTTAACTCTGTGTGATGGGTGCACACAGAATTTCAATTTAGTTTTCATGAAACATCACGTGGCAAGGTAAGCAATCAATATGTACCTGGGAAATATCCTAGGTAATGTATTGGTTCATTAACAAGAATATTGGTTAATGCTGAAGTCCTGAAATTAGAATCAGAGAACAATGGCCCTGCATAAAAGCAGAAGGCCAAGGCCCTAAGGCAGTGTTGCCATTCAGAAGCACATCAGCTCTCATAGATTAACCAGCAATCTGGGCCAGACTGTGCAGCAGGCAGAGCTTGGAAGTGAACAAGGTGCTTCAGAGTAGATAAGTAAGTTAACCCACAGGCTATAGGGGAGGGCTGGACAACAGCCCACAGACAGCGTGGACGTCAATTCTGTTCAACTCCTGTGAGATCACTTGTGCTTCTGAGCCACTACTCTTTTTTTTAAAAAAAGAACAAATATAAGAGGCAGCTCCTGGATCTGGAAAAGATGGGAGAGGGACTTAGGAAAAGGTGGGAGGTGGCTATACTCTCCACCACCAACAGGTACTTTCTGTTCCTTGTTGCCAAAGTGGCCCTAGCTTCTTAAACAGCCTGGTTAGACTAATATTTTTTTTTTAAACTACCTACCCTACAAATGTAAGGATGTCTCAGGTCTTGCAAGGAAACAAGGGCCTTATTTGTGCATTGCTTTAAACCGCGTTTAGCTTTACTATCATTTGAAGGTGAACCCACAGGATGCTTTAACTTCACTTGTTTTGGACACTGCTATGCCAGCATCACAAATGCATGTTTATGCTTTGGATAGAAGGCTTCTGCCTCCCTGGGATGGGATCCTAACCCCTGAGAGGACTCATTGGGGCATGCCACCTGGCAACAATAGGAGCAGGTGTGGAGGAAAGCAGCCACAATTTAAGCAAAGCCCTGTGCACCAGCATGCTGCACATTCACCTATAAACCATAGCTAAGATTACAGTCCAGGGCCTTTTTAAAGCCAGAACTCACTGGAACTCAGTTCCAGCACCTCTCAGGTGGGTGCCATTACCATTATAAGAGAACAAGGGAGGCGTTTATGGTGAGTTCCAGCACCTCTTTTTCCTAGAAAAACAGCACCAAGCTTACCTAAGGTTTAAAATTATATCTAAACTAGCTGTTACTGACTTTAAGCCTGCTAGGATTTCCAGAAGGTTTCTTCTGCCCTGATTCAGAATTTGCCCTTTTGTGATTTGCCAGGCAGAAGAAACAGCCTGCTGATGTAACCAGCAAAAATTAAAAACATCTGAAATCAGACACATCAAAACATTTAACACTGGAGAAAGTGGCTATCATAGAAGCACCATGGATATATGCAAGACACTTGACCCTGTGACAGTACCTTAAAATAAATGAAAAACCTTGTAATCATGATAACAATGCTGATAATAACCTATTACATCTAAAGTTTAACCTAAAGTATGGTAGCCTAGTTTCACAGTTTCTGATCATCCTTGTATCCTTCTGTTTATATGGGGCTTGGAGTAAGCAATCATAAATCAATTACTTAATTATTTATTGCAAAACACTTTGCCCATACTAGATAGTTCACTGGATAAACGCCATTCTGGTACTGTAGCATCTATCTTTTCTCTAGCATTTCAGATTTCATTAGTCTATAAAACCAGGTTTATTTGTAATAAAGTTAAACCCATCAAACCATTGACCATGGAAACCAGATTTTGAAATAATTCAGATTTGTGTTTCTGTTCTTTCTAATTAGGGTAATATCGGGAAGGACAGACAGTGGGTAGCATTGTTCAAGCACCGTGGATTTAAGCAAGAAAATCTGATTATCAGCTCATGTCAGAAGCCAAACGATAATGCAGTTTAGCATTTGTTTGGGCTTTCTCTTTCGCCAAAAGATAATTACTGTTCGTTAAGTCTTACGTAAGTATATCTAGTATCTATGGCCCTCAACACTATGAATAGCAAAAAAAGAACACAATGGCCAAAGAAGAATTATAGGATTTTGTTATTTACATGGGGTTGTTCCCTCCTGGTAATTTCATTAGCCACAAAAAGTAAAACTTAATGTCAGAGTATAATTTCAAAAAAGGCCAAGAAGTTAAACATGTCAAGTTCACATGCAAAGTTGCATTTTTGTCAGTGCACAAAAGCTACACTCAGAACCATATTGTCATATGGACTGGAACAACACAACTCTTATTGGACTAGAACGATAGCTGCAGCTGAATGGAAACGGCCTTTCAGAGAGAAAATTCTGTATGATGCTGAACTCCTTTTCAGCTCCTTTTGACTTCATCATGGTTAGAATTTAATAGCAATTTTGGTACTAGGTCAGAAAAAGATAATAAATCATCTGCTTGTTTATTTCCATGGTTCATACAGAACAGTAAGTCTATCAACCACTCCTAACCACAACAGCTGAATGAATCTTCCTTCAGTTCAGAGGTAGTATACCCCTGGGCGCCAATATGCAGGACATGCTAAAAGAGAGGACTCCAGTCTCTTTGTCCTGCTTTTAAGCTTCTCGTGAGCATCAAGCCAATCAATATGGAGGGCAGTGTTCTTTGGCTCCAGAATTTGGAGAATAGCGATGGCATCATTGCTGCTCTACTAACTGAGCTATCCCATGAGAGCCACTCCAGATTAAATTTCTGGCCATCCAGAAACCATCAGGTAAATCTATTTCCAGAGTGTATGGAGACGCAGTTCCGCCCATTCCTGCTAGAAGATACTCCTGCCACATTATGAGACACATTGGCCCACCCAGTTCAGACATAACACGAGCCTTGTGCCATCTACACCACCACTTCCTTTGTTCCTTCTTGGTGTGCCATGATAAAAGCCTTCAATAGTTATGTGCCATGATGACTATGTTCTGCCATAGGCTGAATGCCTCTGAATAGCAATTCCTGGGAATTACAAGTGCAAGGAGAGCTGTGTCACTTAGGTCTGACTTTCAGGCTTACCAAAGGCATCTAGTTGGCCCCTGCAAGATCAGGATGATGGACTAGATGGGCCTTTTGCCTAACCAGTCAGACCTCTTCTCAGGTTCTTATCTTAATTCCCTGTTACATCAGAACCAGGAAACCTTAGCTACCACATTCAGAACAAATGAGGTTCTGACATAATGATCAGAAGTTTATTTCAGATCCTGATAGCCATAGTTACCTGGTTCAAATGTAATGGACAACTATGCTTGATTAAACCAGCTGTAGCATGTGAAACAAGGAAGGAAGGGGCAACAAACAAACACAAAGCATGTGCATACCTCACCTTATTGAGTTGACACATGCTCTATCTGAACTAGGCCATTTTTATGTATCTCGAACACCATGTTTTTTTCTCTGGGTGTGTTTAGGAAAAGGTGGCAATGTTATTTCCCCCACCCCAGATCAACTTTAAAGATGTCCAGCAAAAAAAATAAATTAAAAAATCACTGTATTCCTCTGTCTAAAATGTGGCAGAGGGGATGGAGTCTAATATTCTGGGTTTTTTAAAAATTTGTTAAGATAAAATAAGCAGTGGGGAGAGGAACATTTATAACAGGAACAGTGGGGTATAAATGCAATAATAATGAAGTGTTCATACATTGGTGCTTCACATGAGTGCAGCCCCTGTTAGGTCATGAACACCACTGGAATGGAGCCCCTGTGTGTGCACAGCTCTGTGTAAGTAGGCGCCAGGTTGCAGATGTTGTGCTGAGCATGCATACATTCAGTCCACTCTCCCGCATCTCCATGCGTTTAGTGCACCCATGGAGAAGGTCTGCATCAAATGCATAAGTACTATACTTCTGGGGGTGCTTTGCAGCAGTAGAAACAAAGTTCACTTCTTTAAGCAAATATTAGAATATTGTTGAAACAAAGAACTAAAAAAAAGATCAAACATGTTTTCTTATCTAACAAATCTATCATTTAGCATAAACTTTGTAATCTCCCTCACACACCTCAATGATTTTATACATTTCAGTCGCCCTTTTAAACAAAAAAAGAAGGGTTTTTTTAAAGTGGAAGGATCTAACCCTAGATGAAAGAGGCAATGCTAGGCACTGGCATGTTTGAAGGCAGAAGCTTTTGGCACAATTATCATCAATAGTTTTCTGAGTAAAACCAGCTTCCTTAGTAATCCAACAATAAACCATGACCTAAAAATGCATTAATGTCCCCATATGTTTTTATCAAACACTTCCTATTGTTGTAGGGTTTATTGTTTGCACTTCTTCAACTGTGGTCTTTAAAAAGTACAAATAAAGGGAATTAAATGCTGTGTCAAGGATACTCTCCCTGCATGTTTGAACACCTGCTCCTTTTCATCGGTAATTATGCTTACTGATGAGTAATGCATCCAAAATACTGTAATCTGTCTCAGAAAGTATTTGTGCTAATGTCACAAGTGAGCTGCAGGAGATGTGGCCTTCCCTTTCGAGAGGGAATATAAATTTCACATAAATGTTTCAAGTAATATATCATGGCATGAATGAGTACCAGGCAACCTAAGAACTTTGGCACAGATCTCTCTCTCTCTCTCTCTCTAACAAACACACACATACACACAGAAAGTATTCCTTGCCTATACCTTGGGCACTGCCATGCTTGTACAACTATGGCAGGCTCTAACTTCAAAGCCACTACAGCCTACGGAAAGGATGATAACAGAAGCAATATTAGAATGAGCAAGGGCCCTTCTCTACATTCTCATACCGGGCTTGGAAATATTAATTTGCCTACTTGACTTTGATGAGTCGTAAGCACATAAGAAGAGAAAGTACTTCTTCATACAATCAAACTATGGAATGCACTTCCACAGAAAGGAGTGATGGCCAGTAACCAAAATGGTTTTTTAAAAGGACTAAAAAAGTCATGGAGGAGAAGGTTATCATGGCTACTACTGCCTCCATAGTTAGAAGCAGTAATACTTCTGAATACAGTGATACCTTGGGTTATGAACTTAATTCATTCCAGAGATCCGTTCTTAACCTGAAACCGTTCTTAACCTGAGGCGTGCTTTCACTTATGGGGCCTCCCGCTGCCGCCACACTGCCAGCGCGCAATTTCCGTTCTCATCCTGGGGCAAAGTTCTCAACCCGAGGTACTACTTCCGGGTTAGCGGAGTCTGTAACCCAAAGTGTTTGTAACCTGAAGCGTTTGTAACCCGAGGTACCACTGTACTACTTGCTGGGAACCACAGGAGGGCAGAGTGTTCTTGTTCTTGGGTCCTACTTGTGGCATCTGGATAAGATGGACCACTGGCTTGATCATTGCAGGGGGGAGACAGATGCAGCCCTAGCCACTGAAGGAGTCGCTGCTCTCCCCTCCCCACTCTTTTTATCACTTCTTTATATCACTTATATCACTGCTATGAGATTGTGAGCCCATCTAATAGAGATACCAAAGATTGAACCTGGGACCATGCAGCTCTCACACTTATAAACTCAAATGGAAGTGATTTAAGTTTCCTTTGGAGTTTGTACAGGTGGATTTTGCTTCCTGTGACTTTTGCACAAAAGTTCAAATTGTTCAAATTGTTGGTCGGTTAAATGCTGCTTGAGACAGTACAGCATGTTGCAGAACTGATCAGCTAATTTTGCAGGTGAGGCTGAAGGCTGTGAAACTACAAGTGAGTGACATCTGCTGGCTGGCTGCAGAGCACATTTAGATGCAGAAAAAAAAATGCACTGTAAATAATCCACTAAGTATCATGAACTGGTTACACTAGGTCACAAAGCCTTAAGAATCTGAAGAAGTGTGCATGCACACGAAAGCTTATACCCAGAACAAACTTAGTTGGTCTCTAAGGTGCTACTGGACAATTTTTAAATTAATGTTCTGCACAATAAAAACAAAATTGATTGAGGGGAAAAACATGTATGTACAATGTGTATGATGGAATTTAAGAAATTATGTAAAATTACACAGCTGGGTGTATTGTTTTGCTTTTAAAGTAATCCATTAAAAGTAATTAACTAATGCATTTACAGGCAATCATCTCCCATCATCAGAACATAGATTGCTGCTGTTAGCCAGTATATGAATAGATGGCCCATCTAGTTTAGTGTCAGGAACTTCTTGTGATCTGAGATTACTGGACAAACTGGATAGACTTGGTGTCATTCCATCAGAATGCTTTAACCATGACATGGTCCAATACTGCTCTTCTCTTTTCTATTTATGTGTCTTGAACATGTTAAGCTTTACCAGCTAACACTCAAATACTTTGTTCATTAGTTTAGGGCCATTCACTATTACATCTACACCATGCATTTAAAGTGTATGGCTTCCCACAAAGTATCATGGGAACTGTAGTTTAAGGGTTCTGGGAACTGTACCTCTATGAAAGGCAATCTAAAGTTCTTAGGATTCTTTGGTGGAAACAACATGAATGGAATGTGTTAAATCAAATGTTAAGGTGTGAGCCAGTTCCAAGGCAATTTGGGAATCAAGCAACTGTAGTTTCACTAAGGTAAAAGTAAAGAACCAGAACACCTGGACGGTTAAGTCCAGTCACTAAACATATAACCATCCCTCATGGCAAGCCCAAACCAGGATTAATTGATACTTTTGGAGACTATAGTAATATAAAACAGAATAGTGATAGTCTTTTTTTCCACAAAGGTACAATTCAGTGCTCCTGTGATGCCAACCACACCAATCGTTGTACCAAGTACACATGGCTTGAATTAAAAACCCAGTCTAGACTTTTCTTCCTGGCATTGTAGTTTTCATATGCAGGATGGGGATGGGGAGAAATTTCATAGAATCTTTCATAGAATTGTAGAGTTAGAAGGGGCCACAAGGATAATCTAGTCCAACCCCCTGCAATGCAGGAATCTTTTGCCCAAAGTGAAGCTGGAACCTATGACCCTGATATTAAGAGTCTTATGCTCTGTCTTGCTATTGAGGCTGCTTGGCTCAGTTCGCATTTAAAGGCAAGTCTACCTAATTTGCACTTTCCTAAACAACTTGAAAACCGAAACACAGCAATCCTTCCAAATTTGCATGCTTCCAAATTTTCCAGTTAAGTCCTCCAGTAATATGTACAAAAATGCATATACTAGGGTAAAGTGTGCGTAAGAAATGCATACATTAATGAAAATGCAGGGGAGGAATTGTTTCTCAACCATATGAGTATTAGGCAAAAGTATGAGGCAGAAATTCATACTATAATGCTGATGAATTTTCATGAGGACAGTAAGAGCAGTTTGACAATAGAATCAATTATCTAGAGGAGTGTTGCAAAGGCTGGACAGCCATTCGTTAGGGGTACTCTTAACTATAATTTCTTACATTATGCAGGGGTTGAACAAGATGGCCTACAAAGTATGCATAGAGTGGTGGGGAGATACATATGGGGATATTGTAATTATCTCTTTTAGAAGTATTTTCATAGAATCATAGAATTTTAGAGTTGGAAGGGACCCTGAGGATCATCTAGTCCCCTGCAATGCAGGAATATGCAGCTGTCCCATACGGGGATCAAACTTGCATTATCAGCACCATGCTCCAACCAACTGAGCTTTTTTGAGTGTATATATTACATATTTAAGCCTGTGATCAAAAGGGTGTAAACTTAAGTGAACACAGCATTGCACTGTTAAATATCCTTATAATCCATTTTTTTCAGCTAGCGTAAAGTGGGAAAGGAGGGAGGGAAATACCTACTTTCTTCTTCTTTGAATTGTATTGGGTAGGAAACCCCATAAGGATCCACAGGTCTAAATGGCTTAGTTGTAGGGACTGAAGTCTAAAGAATCTGACTGAGCAGTACTGGATGTTCATATTGCATCTAACTCTGTAAAAAAAAAAAATGGCCATAAACTGCTCATTGTCCCAAACCTTGACTGCCTGGCTGAGATGAAAATGCTTTACATGAGAATGAACTGTGTAGGAAGCACTGCTTCTTACCTTCTTGTTACATAAATGAATTTGATCCACTTATACCTGGAGGGAAGATTATGCCCCATTTCTCCTTGTATCTTATTCCCTGTTGTCAATTTTGCTTGAATCATATGATATGAAGTAACCTTATTTAACCCGATACTATAATTTTCTCTCATTTTTTTTTTATAGTATGTATGTATTTTGTGCCTTCGAGAACATAATTTCCTAAACATTGAACAAATGGTTGGTAGAGTTTCTTCCCCATTCCACCCCAGTAATTTGCCTTTCATCCTTTACAGTGTATATATAATATATAACCCTAGTTCTCAAATCACAGCTTGGTGGGTGGATGAAAGTGACAAGAAAAGAGTGGCCAGATTGTTTGTATTTCAGTTTTGATTATAGTTTGGTTGAGAGTTCTCAGAATTTGTCACACTGTGTCTCCTGAACCCAAGGGAACAATGGTTGTTTTCACATTCATAAACATATAAAGCAAACAAGAGGATTCAGCTCTGGGAGCTATTTGATATTTCACTAAGCAATGGGCAGAACATTTAGTACCACAAGGTTTAGGCCTGCTTTTTCCATAGTACAATCCTATACATGTCTAACTGGAAGTAATCCCTATTGAGATCAACAGAACTTGTACTCAGGCAAATGTGTGTAAGAGGGCTATCTGCACACAAAGGGTGAATTCCTGATCACACGGAAAGAACCCTCTGCATTTCAAACCATATGTTACGTTATGATTTATATACTGTTATATGATTTATATACCCAAATGACCTCAAAGCAGTGAATAGCATATGAATACAAAAATGACCAAAGCAATTTAAAATAGCAAAATTACACTGGATATGCAATCCTGGGCTGCATTCATGCTCTCACCATAGAAACAACTTATCAGCACTCCGCCTCTCACTTGGAAGCCAAGATAACTCCATCCTGCCTCCCCAGGTTGCTCCAATCTCTCACCTAGGAGCAAGCCCATCTACAACATCAGTCACTGAGGAGCACAAGTGGAAGAGTGCTGTTGCACTCAGCTTATGGGCTTCCCATGGTTATCTTGTTGGCTCTGTGAGAACAGAACACTTCTTTTCTTTATGGCAAAAATGACAGACTAGAAGTGCTCCAGACCCGTATTTTCACTGAGCTAGCCACCACCTTGAGATCTTTTTTCTGGTCAGTCACCACAATGCACCCTGGAAAGGGGGAGACAGAGGGAGCTGGACCCATGCTAAGATTGGCCAGGGATGATCAGGCAAAAAAGAGAACTGACAGCACAGTTATACTTTGAGCAAGCACAATATTGAATATGATAGCCAATAAAGTTATTATTTGACATCCTGACCATCTTGAAACACACACACACTGCAACACACACACCATAACACACTTCTGGGTTTCCTGGATACTACTGGCTCAGACTTTATCTATGAATACATGATATTAGGTTAAGAGATTTTTTTGTCCAAATGTGCATCACTTTTCAATTACCATACCACATGCTGCTGCCAATTCATCCTGTTTGAAGAGATCCTTTAAGCATTCTATGCTATCTGATTTGCTTCATGTTGCCTTAAAGAATTTGGTGCCATCAGCAGACTTAGCCACCTCACTGCTCACACCTAAGTCAAGATCATTTACACTGGGTTTGCCTTTGTGTAGTGTGCAAAATTGGGACGCGGGTGGCGCTGTGGGTTAAACCACAGGGCTTGCTGATCAGAAGGTCGGTGGTTCGAATCCCCACGACGGAGTGAGCTCCCGTTTCTTGGTCCCTGCTCCTGCCAACCTAGCAGTTCGAAAGCACATCAAAAGTAGATAAATAGGTACCGCTCCAGCAGGTAGGTAAACGGCATTTCTGTGCACTGCTCTGGTTAGCCAGAAGCGGCTTAGTCATGCTGGCCACATGACCCGGAAGCTGTACGCCTGCTCCCTCGGCCAATAAAGCGAGATGAGCACCGCAACCCCAGAGTCGTCTGCGACTGGACCTACTGGTCAGGGGTCCCTTTACCCTTTACCTAGTGTGCAAAATACCCTTTAGACATCCTTGCAATCTTCAAATGTGACCATTTACACCAGTGTATGCCTGCTACTGCCTACACTAATGTGAAGTTACACCTTCATGCTTTAGCAGAAACTGTACTTCATTCTCATCTGTCACCAAAAGGTGACACCAGAGAAAGTAGGAAAGCACATCTAGCATATTTAACAGTCTTTGTCAGGTTTTTGAGTCCTTACGTAAAAATATTTTCTATAAAAGGACTCTGAACATTAACCACCCTCTTATTCTGCAAAGTATTTGCTAATCATAAATTACTGCTGCTGATGTCTGTCTTCTTTTTCTTCTTCTTAAGCACCTGCAGCAGGGAAGCATTTATAGGGTTTGGAACAAAGGCTTCATTTCCAATTTTTTAAAGTTAGGCTGCATGAGAATAAGAGACAGGTAAATCATCAGAAAGAAAATAAGGCATTGTACCCAGCAAAGGGAGAAAACATACTTGAAGCTACCAAGGACTTCAGATATTCACTGCTAACCATTAACCCAATTTTCTAATGAATATGGCATTAGGCATTCATTAACAATCATTTGTGTTTATATAGAACTGTGGCTGTACAATAGGGACTGATAAATGAAAGCAATGAAATGAGGGAATTTTGGACACTTATAAAGCAATTTAACTAGTTTGCCAGTAATTATATATTGTCACCTAATCAAGCACATTTGGGAAAAGCATGAGGAGTGAGGCAGAAAACTAAAGGTACACCGGTCCTAAAAAGAATACAAGGAGTTTTGTGTCCTCTTTGAATACAGAGAAAAGCAGACACAACTCACATAAGTATGGTATTAATGGCAGAGCGAGAGGGGGAGAGAGAGTACATTTCTGGTTTGGTTTTGTGTGTGTATGTTTTTTAAAAGGGAACACAGTTCCAGCCTCGGTCTTCATAAAGAACGAAGTCAATGAAAAAATAGCTAAACAACTTTGGATATAAAAAGAGAGACCTTTGAGTTAACAATGGAGTGCAAACAGGTGGTGTACTAGAGGGTTAATGTTTTTGTTTCATGAAGAAGGCCCAGTACCAGGGCCTGCCTGCTTGAATCTAGTAATAAATGAAACCACCTAGCAAATTAAATGTGCAAAATGGGAAGGGGGGCAGAATGAAATGGGTGAGGTTCGTTTTACAGTTATCAGGACACATTCACTCTAATGAGCTGGTAACATGATCTATTTTGGTTTAGTGGTGTGTGTACATGTGTGTGTGTGTGTGTTTTACAAATTGCTTCCACTAAACATGGGCATCAAACCCTGCAGGCCAGAGAATGAACATATGCTTTTTAAGACCCGATACAGCCACACAGGTTTTCCTCCAGTACATCTGATTGAACAATAAGGAACACTGTGTAGAATCATGTAACCTTAGAAAAAGTAAAAAAACCAAACCTTTATCTATAAAGTAGAATCACACATATGTCTGTTCCCTCCCAGTGGCAGACCTTGGGGTGACCTTAAAATTCAGTGGCACCCTTTGTAACACCAAAATTCTGTGTGTGCCTCCAAGCCCACTTCTCGCACTCCATTCTAAATAATAGTTGTGGCATCCCCTGTGGCACACAGTGCAGATGAACTGGTTGCACGCCCCTAAATATATGCACAAAATCTACACTGTCCCAGACTGGGTGACAAGGACAGGGCTAAGCCTAAAGAAAACAGTCAGATAATATAAGCCCTGCTGAATCAGGCCAAAGTGCCATCTAATTGAATATTCAGGTTGCAAGCCCTAGCCAGCTAGAAGCTTCTGGGAAGAACATAGCAGATCAGCCCTCTTCTGTTGTTGTCCTCCTAAGTAGTCTTCAGTGGCATATTCAGATCCTTACTGGAGGTTTAGCCTCAAGAAGACTGAAGGGCACACAATAAGCGCTCTTCAAATACCTGAAGGGCAGTCACACAAGTTCATTGCATACCATCATACAAATTCATGTTGTGCATGTGAGCTGTACACCCAATCTATATATACTATGCTTTCCAGGAGTTCTTTCCCATGCTGGCTTTCTACATTCAGAGAACTGTCCTGTCCATTTATTCCTACTTTCTGCTTCCAGTTACTTACCCAATTCCTGATCCACAATAGGACCCCTTCTCTTATTCCATGGCTGCTAAATTTACTCAGGAGTCTTTGGTGAGGACCTTATCAAAAGCTTTTTGAGAGTAGTCAACTTAACATCTTATCTATATGCTTGTTACAAAATGGTAGATTCCTGCTGAAGAGATTTTTTTTTTATCTTAAGAGCACTTTGGCAAGAGCACCAATTACAGAGGGAGGGAAGTGGTGGGAGATCCCCAAGGAAGCCATCTGTTGGGGATGCTCCACCTCTGGATTTTCTATCTCCATTAGTGGGTTAGCCAAGAGGGCCTGTGATTTTAGCTTCCATTTAGCTCTATGACTGTAGCTTCCATTTAGCTAGCACCAACAGATAAACCTGCCCTCCGTAAATTTGTCCCATTTCAAAGCCATCTAATGCAATGGCTATAATCACATCTTGCAGCAGTGATTTCCATCAATTTATTAGGCATTGTATGAAGTATTTTCTTTTGTACATACTAATTCTTCTGAGCAAATGTGCCTAGTCTTGGACTGCACACCTGCCATCCTATGCCTAGCTATCGGTGGGACTTGCTTCTGGATAGCTGCACTAGTTGCATGACTGCCACACATTGCTATGGGGCGTTCTTCTAAACTGTGGGTCTGCTGTTTAAAAGGCAGTTAAAAATCCACTTACTTTAAACACTCAGCTGGTATTGTAGCCTGGCCACAGCCCCACGTCAGTGATCCAGCAGCTGGTTGGGGAAGAGTGCAAGTCTGCCTGCAGATTGGCCAATAGCAGGCAGGCCTGGGTCTGGGGATTCTCAACCGGCCAATGGGTTTTGCTAGGGTCTGCCCCTGTGGAATAATTGACACTGACCCAGGGAGCAACTGGGTCATGGGGCATTGGCACACAAGTGATGAGATAGCCAGAAATGTGTTACCACAAGTAAGTGTTTGCATATGTGCTATGTCTGAGTTGGGGCCACCATGCAAATAGGAATTAACCCAAAACACACATGCAAAATCAGCCTTTAAAAAAGCCTTACTCCATGTAGGTTTGTCAGATACATTTTAATGTATTTTAAAGCTATGTTTTTGGCAATTAGCATAGGGCAGCCTATCCAAATAGATTGACCCAATTATTTAGGCAATTGTTTAAATGAGTGGGGAAAGAAAAAAGAAACAAAACAAGCCGCACGCTATCTCCAAGTATAAGAATTCGTCTTTCGTTTTCTAATTAATACAACAATAAATCTTTATTTCCCCCCTTTTCTTATCCCGCAATATTTTCCTCGGCCTGCAGTGTTTGAGAACCAGTGAGAAATGTAAAGAAAACCATGAATCCTGAACTAACATATGCTAACTTTTCTTTGGGGAACAAAAGCAGCATCTTGGTTTTCTTCTAACCAGCAAACACCAAGCAATCAAAGAGCAAGCTTTTCAGCTACAAATGTTAGCAAGGAAATTCAATTGTGTTTAATTAAGTTCTTCCAGAGAGAAGCTGCATGCTGTTCCAGCAAAGGGGGTTATCGGAGGTCAGATCCCTGCAATGACTTTGTGACCTCCAAAAGGCCAAATAAAAGGTAGTGGCACTCCTGCTGGTAAGATGGGCTTTCCCATTTGTTTCTCACTCTTTCTGCTTTAATTTAATAGCAATCAGCACAATATGGCTGCTTTTCTTTTAACAATGGGATGGGCAGAAGTTAGATTTATGGCACCGCAAGAGGGAAGTCAGAAAACAAGGGAAGCTCCCCATGACTTTCCATCTACAATGGGGACATCACTTTGATAACCATAAATAACTCGCAAATCTACTTAAGATTCATTGTTGTCAAAAGCTGACAGATGTGCACGATTTAAAATTTAGGAGTTACCTTCTAGTTTGTCTCATGTGTATGACTTGGTCTTTACAATTCAAAAAAGAAAACCTCTCTACATCCAGGTAGCACAAATAATGTTTTGAACATAATATTTAAACAGCCCGCTAATGAGCTTTGCATTTATTTATGAAAAGGAATGTATGCTATAAAAGTACCATTAGTCATCACTCTCAACTCAAAGAATGTGTAGCACAAAAGTTGCCAACCAAAAATATATATTAAAAAGTCACACATTTAGGACAGTTGATAAGGACCGTAGTGAATCAGTCTGACGGCTCAGCAACCACATTCAAAACTATTTCTAAATGAAGATCAAGGTTGGCAAGATCTCTTACAGCAAAATCCTAGCACATTTATTGTGGCACCTGTTTATGAGCACTAGAATCCACTTTCCTCAATGCTTCTTCACTACCTAATTCATTACATGCATTTGGTAAAGTGTGCTCTGCCAGCACATGCCAGATTAAATGTCTCCATCTTTAAGATGCCACAGCAGCCCTTGCTATATAAAACAGTATTTTGATAATCTATGTATATGCCCACCGACACATTAATGCACTACTAATATAACCCCATTCTTAGCCTTCATTTAAATTCCAGAGAAATTCAAAAGCAGTTTGCAGTGCAAACTGGAGGATGATGTTTGGGGAAAGACCTTCAGGGAGAGGCCTCCCCATGTATAACAGGAGTTCCTAAACCATGGTCTATATTTGCTGTCCATCTCTATTAACTTATAAATAGCATTTGTTTCAGCAACACATTGGAACTATAATATTATTATTAAGACTTGTTTGTTACTTGAAAGTCTCTAAGTGACTTGCAACACATTAAAAACTTAAATATAAACACATTACACCACAAAAAGAAAGCAAAGCAAACAACCCTCCATAACAGCAACATGACACTTTGGCAGAATACTAACAGCATAATAGTATCATTTTAGTCTATCAAAAGCCTGGGGGAAAGGTAAGTTATAAAGATGACTACATGGGATCCCACAATAGGTAGCAAATATGCATTTACTTCTGAATATCACTTTAGTGCAAACACAGTTCTGTGGGAAGTTGTTCATATTTGTGATGGTTACCCTTTGTTAAGAGTTTTATCCAGGATTATCATCAGATTCTGAAGCTTACCTAACTTTACAAAGATGGAATATGAAGAGAAGTCTTTAATTTTGCTTAGATACCCCAACAGTGTAATCCTATGCAGACGTAATCAGAACAAAATCATCCAAATGAGTTGAGTGAGACTTATTAGCAGGGAAGTGTAAATAGGATTGCAGCCACAGCCCACAGGTATCTAAAATTATGTAGCCACAAACTCCCCACCCTACCCTATTCCTCCATTTGTTTCCCTTACCCTTCCTTCTCACCCACACGTTGTGAAAAACAGAGTAAAAGGCACATCACTATTGGGACAGTACCCAGTAGAGGCAACTGACACCAGCCGTTCACCAGCCCCATGTCTGACATAGCAACCCCATGCCACCACTCCGTCCATGTAGTGTCCACCTCTCCCCCAGTCACCCACTCAATGACAGAAGAATTTTTCTTCCACTGCATCACCTCACAAGCTGCAATGGAACTCTGACTCTTATGCATACATAGCATTACATTCCAATTCTATAGGCAATATAGTGATAAAACGCCAGGTCCTTGTGGGCGAAAGTGGGATCCACTCTACCTTTTCATGATGGATTATCAATGTGTGCCAACTGTTTTTGCTGATTTGCATACAGCACTGGAGATACTATTGAAGCACCCTTCTCCAACCTGGTCTGCTCTACACTACAGCTTCCATTGGCTTCAGCCAGCACACCCATGTGAAGGGTACCAGGTTAGGGAAGGCTGTACTAAAGAATAAGACCTGTGTGCAATTGCAAAAACTCCCTAGTATATTAACGTAAGCTTTAAATGAATGTAAGAGAATGACAGTCCATTTTGTAGCCAACTGTATATTTTATTCAATTTCTGAGTCACCTAATTACAAAAAATATCCCCTACTTCAGCTTCTTCTTTCCTCTTATGATAAAATCCTTAAGATAAAATCAATACTAAGAGCACTTGCTTTCCACAGCTGGACAATCTTAGGTCAGCTAAGAAGAAAGATAATTATATAGCCTCTCCATAAATATCCAAAGGTCATGCTTCTGGCTTCACTTCCAGCCAAACCAAACGCCATGAAGGAGCACATTATTTTCTCCCCGTTAACATGCTGGGACACAGGCAGCATTTGACTGCGTTTACTCTAATCTAGTTCCACTATATTCAGGAAAGTGCATGAACACACATCCTGCATCTGCACAGGTTACATTACAGGGGTCAGCAAACTTTCAGCAGGGGGCTAGTCCACTGTCCTTCAGACCTGGTGGAGGGCCAGACTATATTTTGAAAAAAATATATGAATGAATTCCTATGCCCCACAAAAAACCCAGAGATGCATTTTAAATAAAAGCACACATTCTACTCATGTAAAAACACCAGGCAGGCCCCACAAGTAACCCAGAGATGCATTTTAAATAAAAGGACACATTCTACTCACGTAAAAGCACGCTGATTCCCAGGCCAGATTTAGAAGGCAATTGGGCCTGATCCGGCCCCCAGGGCCTTAGTTTGCCTACCCATAAGTTACAACATCGTCAACAGCAATCAATGTAGCCTCCAGAGCCACAATGTACAGTTTGAAAGTTTAATTGAAGGGACATGCTATTGACTCCTTGCCTGTGACCTGGAACACCTGAGAAGGATTTGTCTTCATTTTAATTAACAGCAAGAAATCACTGAACTGTTAGACATATGCAAGCCTGTCACCTGTCATCACATTCATCAAATGGTAAATGTGCATGTGTGAGCTGCTTATTCCCATATCTGAACAACTGAAGATTTACTAGTATGTCCCATTTGAAATTATTTAGTTGCTTTACTCATGGAAAGGAATCAAACCAACGTACAGACCCAACAGAAATACTAAAAGACTTACAGACCCTGTCCCAAGAGGCCAAAAATACTTTAAATCCTTTCAAATTAAGGAGCAAAAGCCTGGGTAAAAAGGAAAGTTTTTGCATGTAAAAATGAATAAAGATGTTGCCAGATGAGCCTCCTTGAGAGAGCATTCCACAAATGTTAAGCCACTTGTGTCCATCACTTAAGAGCAGAGGTGGACAACCTGGACTGTTAGAGCCACATGTGGCCCTCACCCTAACTGGCCACTCTGCCTAATTTCATGTGTCCATCAGCCTGATTTCATTACTTTTAAGGGAATTCACCATAACTGCCTCATTTCACAGGAAATCATAGGGTCATCAAATTGGAAGGGACCACAAGGGTCATCTAGTCCAATTTTGTCCAAAGTGGGGATCGAACCCACGACCCTGAGATTAAGAGTCATGTGCTACCAAAGGTTGCCTTTCGAGGTAAATATAGCCTCACAAGGTAATACCTAAGAATAGACAAAATAAAGTAAACTTATTTAGATTTGGGTCAATATATAATATATAATGGGATACATGGTATGGAAGTGTATACAGTATATAACTGATCATATGATTTATATATATCACTGCACAAATGATAATTTATCTTGAAAGCATAAATAATTAATGGCTAGTCGGGAATCAAAAAGAACATTCAACAAGTCAGTGTAATATGTGTGATTAAAATTCTAAATATTTACTTGTATTTATATTCATAATGTTTATTTAATTATAATCTATGCCACATTGTTTTACCAGAAAGGCTAAAGCAGACATTAAAGCACCTGGCAGCTTTACCTCACCCACCTTCATTTCTGAATACATGAACTTTTCAAGGCAATCATAGTTTATACTTCCCTTATCCAAAGTTAATTTCTTTAGCTTTATTGGCATCATAACATCTTCCTGAGCAAGTAGCAGCTTGGTCTCCTGGTCACCTACCCTACTATATTTTTTATTGTTTTCTGGTCTTTAGGAGAATATATGATTTCAACAGCATATGACGGCCTCTTTGTAGTAGGTTGACTGATCAAGTTCCTGGAGGAAAGGATGGAAAATACCTTTGTCTTTGCTTCTTTCGCATCTCAGTTAGGATGTGCTACATTTATCACACACACCTTTTTTAAAAAAAAATGATGGGATAGTAGAATTGCAAATCTCGGAGCAAAAGCACTGAACTCAAGGGAAGTGCTAGTCTCAATATTTGTTCACACAGTGTCTATGGTAGCCAAGAGGTATTCCGAAGGAATTTCCAGCAAGTGTATGAGGTCATGATAAAACTACAGCAGGAATGCACAGCTTTGAGGCTTGAGTCAAGGAAAGAAATGAAATGCATGAGAACTAATATAATGGTACAATGGTATTATACCACAGCAAAGATATGAAGTGCGAATGCCACACATACATGTGCACATAGCTTCAGGCACCTGTGTAGATGCAAATGGGGACCGTGGCTTAACCAGGGTTCTCAGATGCAGGGAAAGGGATGGGTGACTGCTATGGGAAAGCTACAGTCTCCCTTCCCCTGGTTTCCAGCAAATGGTATTCAATTGTCATGCACAAACGAGCCATGCACCCAAGATCAGAACTCAGCCTGCATGCATGTAGACAAACTTCCCACAAAGAGCAGATCAGGTGGTTTGTGTGTTTCTGGAATGCACCATTGTCAGCAGGTGGACAACATGAATGGAAACTCCTCCACAGAAAGAATTCCTTGCACATAGAAAACTAGATTTGAGAAAGAGCTCTAGCCTAGCTTCCCCTCCAATATGCTAGTTTTTATGTGGTGAATTTTATTTTATGTATGGAGGAGTCTGAGGTGGTGCAGCCCAGAAATAGGTTTGGCTCCTTACCTGATGTTTGTGAGAACTGGGCCTCAGTTGAAGAAGCTTTCTGTAGGGCAAATGGGTGGATCATGGAGCAGTCATATAATGCAGCCTTGGCCAACCTGGAGCCCTTCAGGTGTTTTGGACGACATCCCCATCAGCTGGTTGGGCCTGATAGGAGTTGCAGTCCTAAACACCTGGAGGACACCAGGCTGGCAAAGGCTGATCCATCCAACAGCAACCACTTCCACTTCTGCCTAAATTCTACCCAGCCTTGTTCAGTACACATTCTCAGAGTACCACTTTAAGAAAACCAGGTCACAAAACCTTACAAAGACTGACATGGGAACAGCTCTACCAGCAATTATTGAAGGACTTAAAAATAAATAAACAGAAGAAATCAAATCATATTTAGCAGAACTCGACAAGACTATTTAATGAGGGCATATGGCAGACAAGTAGCATTTGCGTCTCCTGAGCTGTAAGAAGATGGTAGAGGCAATATTTTTGAGAAACACAGTATGCTCTGTTAGCATTTTTAATTGAAGACAGGCACACAACAAGCTGTATTTCTTTTTCTGTAAATGTAATCTACTTTTTAAAGCCAATATTTTTAACAAGAGGGATCCTTAGTCTGTGCTTAGCAGGTGTGGGGGAGATGGGAAACAGAAACTAAAAGTACAAATATTGCACTTTTTATTCTTACACAAATTCATGGCTGTGGAATTAAAATTTTATACCTAAAACCCTGAGTTGTAACAAAGAAAAGAGACTATGGTCTAATATTCCAAGCTGATTTACAGATTCTGGGAACATGGGATAGGGGGAACCTTCTAAAGAAAAATAAAACAATGTTGCTAAAATAGGCCCAATTATCTGGGTCACTAAGTACTGTGTATTTCCCCTGTAGCATTTCATAGCAGTTACTGTTGCCAAGGGAGGGTTGATCTTCTCATTATGTATGTTTGTCTTTCACATCAGAGCTAGGCTAGCTGCTTTCTTTCTGTATCCTAGAACTGTAACAGAATTTAAAATTTAAAAAAAGGACTGAAGCCCCCCTCACCATTATTACACAAATACCTACAAAGCAGAGGGAGGGACTCTGGCAGGTCATGGGGTCAGTCCTCTAATCATTGATGCACTTGCTCCAGCAGACCCCTGTCTTTTGTAACTGGGTCAAAGCCAAGACCTCTGCTGAGTATCCTCAGTGAAGAATTAACAAGTGTGACAATTTGCGATCCCTCCCCCCTAAGGCCCCTGATCCCGTCTGTTTGAATGCTGTAAATAGAGACATCTGGATGGAGGCCTTTCAGTGCAGTAATTGAAAATGAACATGGATCAAGTTCTGGCCTCTTGTATTCATAAATCTTGAGGCTTAATTACATTAAAGGGGAATCTAGGGCCTGGCTCTATGGAGACGGCAGATTCTATCAGGCGCTCCAATCATGAATCTTTAAAATAAGCCGTTTTGCCAGCTCCCCACTCGGCATAGCTGGAAGAGGCATTTTTCAGGCAGTGCTGGAAAGCTAGATAAAACTTTTTATTCTCTTTGTATGTGTTCATTCGCTTAACATTTCTATTAGCTGAAAGTCACAGGCATAAGAAATGAAGCTGGTTAGTTACTTTATGATTAGTTCTAAAAGGCCACACAGAAATTGAAAACAATTATTAGATAAAGAGCCACATTTGCCTTTCTATTGAGAAATTAACTAAGATGCTGCTTATCTCCCAACTACCCTCTTTTAGCTGGGCTGCCACATTCCTCAAAACAAACACACCTCCATGTGATATGGTTGCCTCCCTCCATTTTTTGTTTGTTTGCCTATAGCACCTAAAATGAAACTGGAACACAGACATTATACAGTGGTGCCTCGCAAGACGAAATTAATCCGTTCCGCGAGTCTCTTCGTCTTGCGGTTTTTTCGTCTTGCGAAGCACGGCTATTAGCGGCTTAGCGGCTATTAGCAGCTTAGCGGCTATTAACGGCTTAGTGGCTTTAAGATAAAGGAAACAAACTCGCAAGAACTCGCAAGACGTTTCGTCTTGCGAAGCAAGCCCATAGGGAAATTCGTCTTGCGGAACGACTCAAAAAACGGGAAACTCTTTTGTCTAGCGAGTTTTTCGCCTTGCGAGGCATTCGTCTTGCGGGGCCCCACTGTACATTTAACATCTAGCAAGCTGATGTATGTAATAGTCTGTACTTTGGATACTTGGGCTGCATACATACCATTCATTTAAAGCACACACATACCCCCAAAATCCTGGGGACTTTAGTTTACCCCTCACAGAGCTATAATTCCTAGCACTCTTAACTACAGCTCCCAAGATTCTCTGGGGTTGGAAAAGGTACTTCCAATGTATGATGTGTATAAGTACACAGCCCAAGTTTAGGTTATGCAGAAAGAAAGGGGTAAAATATACTTCTCGCATAAGTAGTTCTGTGATCTGAGGCAAAAAAGCTGGTGCAATATAGTATTCTAAATGCACTCACTGATATCCCCCCCCCCAAAAAAAATCCATTCCGTGTAAAAGCCTTGGAGTTTCATGCAAATTATATCTATTTACTATTAGCTGCTTCCCTCTTCGTTCAAGCCCAACGGCTGGGAACTGCAACTAAACTTTGAAAAGAGGAGTGGGGAAGAAATGCAGGAAGAGCTCCCTATATTAGGGGGGAGGGAACTTCCACAGCCTTCTACACCCACATGCTAATGCATTAATAAGCATCAAGATCTATATTATAGAAACAACTACTACCCACTGCTAGTCATCCATCCATTTGGCTGCCAGAATATAAATAGTGGAGGGAGGGAGAAGAGAAAACCAGGTGTCTATTCATTTATTACATGCATGCATGCATGGGCGCCTATCTATTTATTACATTTGTATACTGCCATTATAACTGAGTTCCCTGGATAGTTTGCTTATTAAAAACATAAAACAAAATGCAAACAGTTGAAAACCATTGAAACAAATGATAAATAAATCAAAACAGTGAACACCAACACAAACACAGCAACTAAAAACAATCTAAAGTCAGCAAGGGTTTGTGAAAAGTGCTAAAATAGAAGCAGCCATTATGCTTTAAACATCTGAGAGAATAAAAAGACATTCACCTGGGATCTAAAAGACCATAGTGCAGGCACCCAGCAAGCATCTCTGGGAAGGGTACTGGTCTCTTCATCATGCCATACCTTTCCCCACCTCTTGAAATGTACATAAAGCTGAAAGAGGAAGCTGGAAAAGCGACACACTTTCACAATTCTTCCTCAACTCCATATGCTTTTCAAGGCTCAGAATGGAACCTGAGCAGCTGACGGTGAAGTAACTGAAAAAATGAGAAGGAACTGGGAGAAAATGGAGAAACCAGAGGGAGGCAGGGGAGGGAAAGTGGGCTGCTGCTGGGGTCAGAGAGAGAGAAAATGGATTACCACCTTTAAGCCTGGACTATTTTGACCCACCACCAGTGCCTTTTTTTCTAGAAAAATAGGTGCAGTTACTCACCATGAAGGTGTTACAGTAAGTGCCACACTTTTTAACAACAAAAAAGAGGGGTGCTGGTTCTGTGTACCTTTGAGTACTCCCTGGAAAAAAAGAACTGTCCACCACCATCACCCAGGCCATGGCATTGGGCTGCTAGGTTCTGAGTGTCCCTTTTTTCAATTGTGTAACAATGAAGGGTATGATTTTAAAGTCAGCCACCAAAGTCATAAACACATGATGGAAGTTGTAACAAACTTATGGTCCAAACCAAAGTCAATAGTGAAGGAAGAGCAGAAACAAGGTCACAGGTAAGTGCCCTTCAGATCAGCGGCAGACCTTGGGGTCTCAAATTTAAGTGCCACCCTATGGGACACCAAAATTCAGCACCCTGCCCATCTCTCTCGCTCCAATTTAAATAATAGTTGTGGCATCCTCTGCAGCACCCATGAGGCTCTGTGCCCAGTGCAGCCAAACCAGTTGCACTCTCCTAAAGCTGTCTCTGTTCAGATGTTGCTAGACTTCTACTGCCACCAGCCCCAGTTAACATAGTCAATGATCAGGGATGTAAACTGCAGGAGTGCATCATGTTGGCTAACACTGTGCCTCAGATATGAAAGCCTTGGAAAGGATGGAGCTACGGGCAACAGCAGCTGAACCAAAGCAAAGCAAATGAAATGTAAGCCAAGGCTACAACATCTCACGTTTCTGTTCTGCACTGCCTAGGACTGTTGTAGTATCTGTTAGCAGAAGCAAAGGAATCACAGGAGGTGGTCAACCAATGAAAGAGACAGTCTCTTTCTAGCCACTTACTAGGCAAAGCACACAATATCCAGAGGAGCCTCATTGTTTTTGCAAAAGTGCTTGACAAGTGGCCTCTAGGCCACGCTGAAGTTGATGGGGCCAGGGCAAAGAGTCCTCTGCTGGTCCCATTCCTCTGTCAGGGGACCCTGCTGGGCTTACTTTGCTGGAGTGACAGTAGTCCAAGCTGTGTTGGGCAGCTGAGTCCTAGACTCCTAGCTATGACTTTATGCCTTGGAAGATTCAGGAGAGATAAAAGAAGTACTTCTTCGCACAGTGCAGAGTTAAATTCTAGAACTCACTCATAGGAGGCAGTGATGGTCATCGACCTGGATGGCCTTAATTAGATGGATTAGACAAATTCATGAAGGAGAAAGTTATCAATGGCTACTAGCCATGATAGCTATACATAATGCTTCTGAATACCAGTTGCTGGACACCACAGGAGGGGAGAGTGCTCTTGTGCTTAAGTCTCAGTTACCCTGGAGAAAGCCCTATTCTGCATATGCTCATTGGCTCTTTCTCACCATAAACATCTTTCTCTTTTTTCTTTCCTGCTTTTTTAAAAGACACAGGTAGGTACTGTTCATAGGTTTGGATGAACATATGGAGGTCAGGGTCCAGAAAGTGTAGGCACAGTTCCGCTATACAAACACACATCCATGCTATACAAATAAATGTGTGAAAATAAGTTATGTGTTTAAAACTTAACGTGATTTGGTTTAAAAGCTTAATATTGCTAAGTACATTAACCAGGAAGACAGTCATTACAGTAGTACTTCTTACACTAAGTTCCTATGGGGAAACATGCTTTTAGACTGCTTTAGAAAGGTGTATGGAACGAAGAAAGTTTATACCATGACACAAAAAGGCATGAAAAGAAACACCACCAAGGATGTCCAGAGTAAGGAAGAAGACAATTTTCAGAAGTCCTACAAGGGAAGTCCTACAGCAATAATCATTAGATTATCTGCTGCTTCAAATAGAAAAATTTGTAAAAATAATTTTCCAGATCCACCATCCCCCAAATTTTGCATGGCATTCAGTAGTTTCTAAAGCTTTCTAAAGCTTTTGTGTACATCCATGTCTTTATACTCCTGTGGAAGCAAACTTGCTTCCTCTCCTGTGGAACCACATCATTTCGGAAAGCCGTCTTCCATTGAGGGGACAATTGTTTTCTATAGAGATGAGAAACAAATACCAATGACCTGGGTCACTTTGCCCCAGCAGGCTTTTGCTGCAGCTTCCTCTGTGCAGCTACAACAAAGTCTGGCAGCAGTCAGCCCTGCCAGCCCACACTGAGCCACCACGGAGAGGCCTGCTATTTACCCTTCCTATTAATCTGTCAGGGTCCTAGTCAAACACGTAAAACAATATGGTGTGTGCATATCTTGATTAGCCATTGCTAAGTAACTGAGGGGAAACATCAGAGAGCGGAGAACCATCCCACATTCTACAACACAGCCTTCTGAGGTATGAAATGTTTGTTCACTTACTTGTCAAATTAGGGGTGGAAGACACCAGTGGGTTTGCTCTCATGGAACCAGCCGCCCAAAATGTCAGCTGCTGGGTCCATGATAGGATATCATTGCATACCCTCCAACATTTCATATGGGGAGATAAAGACAGGCTTGTAACAACCCCAAAACTTTTACCAGCACATGCACCTCACTATCACACATTGCTGAAGGCTCTTCTTTTCTGCCTTCTGCAAGTTTTATTCATTTACTCTACAGCAGCCTGGGCTCCACTGATTTCAGAGCATGTTGGTTCTGCTAGTTAATGACATATTTGGAAAAACTTAATTCAGAATATACCTCAGCAGATGCAATACAGAACTTTAGGAAGCTACATTATGCTTCAGTTCACCTAGCTAACTAACAGTGTCTCTCCAGGGTTTCAATCAAGGGTGATTCCTAGCCCTATAACCTAGCTTCAGTTGTCTATGCTCTGATAACCTATAGGTTAGATTACTGTAATGCATTACACACTGGGCTGCTTTTGAAGATAGTTCAAAAACTACAACTAGTGCAGAATTCAGCAGCCAGATTGCTGACTGTGATGAGAAGGTCTGAACACAGCACACTGATTTTATGACAACCACACTGGCTACTGATTAACTTCCTGGCTCAATTCAGTGCTAGTATTGACCTCTGAAGCCCTATGATGCTCAAAACTATAATACCTCAAGGACTGCCTCTCCCCATATGAACCAGCCCAAACCATGTGTATAGTGTGATAGAAGACGGCTTAATCTACTGGTTTGTCGTGACTACATCATGCCATCGGAACAGAGCCCTACTGCAAAGACTGTGTGTTAGTTAACGTGCACTGATCGACACACATAAAACAAATTCACGCACAGGCGTCTTCCAAAAACCCAAAAACCGTGTTTATGGAAGACAATCTTACTCAGCTATGAGTGATTGCCAAAAAAAGAAGACGGCTTCCTATGAGCTGTGACTCAGATTAAGCTTTCATTTCTGTGCAGACTTCATAAGCCATAGCTTAAACAAAAGAGCTAGTAATCTGCTACCCTACTCCCTAATATTTTACTCTGTACTAATGCAGTCAACTCAACATTTAAAGACTAAGTGATACTGTTTTATCCTTCAGAATGGTCAATATCTGCCCTTCAATGCTTTTGGACTAAAGCTTCCAACACCCCTGACCACTGCTGATGCTAGCTGGGGCTGAAGGGGAGTGTTGTAGTTCAATTTCTGGAGGGTACCACATTGCCCAACTCTGACTTAGAGCACACTCTCCCAAATCTGCATGTAATTTCTTATTACTAAGTTTCCCCTTCCACTTTCTGTAGATTTGTCACCCTGGCAACCTTTATCCTACTCTCCTTAAGAATTCAGGGTGGTATGCAAGACACCTCTCCTTTTATGCTCGTAGTAACCCTGTGAAGTATGGTAGGCTGAGAATGCCTAGACCAAGATCACCAAGTATGCTTTGTGGGGATTTGAACCCAGGGCTCTTTAGCTTTTGTCCCATACACTAACCACTACCCCACAAGGTCTCTCACTTAGGCTTTGTTTCAATTTATTTTATTATTATTTATTGCATTTAGTTGGGGATTGTGACGGATGTATGCTGTATATAATAAGTATATTTCCATCTCTTGTTTGGACATCATTGAATTCTACTTTAGCTTCTCAAGTAAACATATTTTACGTTTCCTGCAATCTTGAAAGAGCTTGAGATGCCCCCTGGTTAAAACATCTGTTTTGCTAACAGTCTGATTCAGAAAAGTATACTTTAATATAAATAATGCATTGGGGGTTCAATTCATTATTTGTTTAAAGCTGGAGTTAAAAACTCCTGCTGATTTCAATGAGCTTCAGATCAGATATTTTGTGAAAACCTATCTGTATAATCCCTTCCTTTATGACCTTCATAGATTGAGGATTCTCCTTCAAGACAATCCTAAACAGCATGATTTTACTCTGGGAACCAGTGCCCTGAATCACAGCTTTTAAAATCCATATAATAATCCAAACTGGACCCCATACCATGCTAAATTACAACATCTGTTTCCATGCTAAATTTCCCTTTATTTTCCCTTTATTTCTAATGCTACCAACCTCAATGACATGATATAAAACCTTACCCTGCCCCAGAAGGGTGAAAATAAACCTGATCTCAATAGAAAGCATTCTAGCTGTGCAAATTGTAAAGAAGATTATGTGTGTTTTCCTGAATAGTTATATATGAAGCAGCATCAAATCATATTTCTTTATTACAATTATTTAACCATTTCTCACAATCTAATAATGTGTTTGAAATATATGAAATTATTACATGGAAACCTGATATTTATCCTTATGTATCTACCTTCTGAAACAATAATAGTTAAAACCATTTTTGGTCTAGATAGGGGTGGGGAAACTGTGACACTCAAAATGCTGCTGGCTAGACTGCAACTCCCATCACCCCTGACTTTTGAATCATAGAATTGTAGAGTTGAAAAGGACCCCAAGGGTCATCTAGTCCAACCCCCTGCAATGCAGGAATCTCAACTAAAGCATCCTGGACAGATGGCCACCCAACCTCTGCCTAAAAACCTCCAATGAAGGGAGTCTGTTCCACTGTCAAACAATTCTTACTATCAGAAAGTTTTTCCTGATGTTTATTTGGACTCTCCTTTCTTGTAACTTGCAGCCATTGGTTCAAGTCCTGCCCCCCCCCCCCCCCGAGCAGGAGAAAACAAGTTTGCTCCATCTTCCATGTGACAGCCCTTAAGATATTTGAAGATGCCTATATCTCCTCTCAGTCTTCTCTTTTCCAGGCTAAACATACCCATAAAGCTTGGTTGCTAGTGCATATTAGTTGTGCAACTACATTAAATCTATCTGAATCTGGATTTACTGTATTCCTAACTTTGTCTGTCCAAAAAGAACTTACTATAGTAATATGTTCTTTTAAAAAAATTACAGAAATATATTTATTCTCTGTTCTCCATGCTTACTTTGAGGTGGGTCTCACTCATTTTTTCAAGTGAATATACTTCTAGATATGCATACATAGGAACTGATGCCTAGCAGTGTGGTCCCTTATACATCTACTCAGAAGGAAGCATCACTGAGTACACTTATTGACAGATACGTTTATTACACCCAAACAGTGCAATACTATGCATGTTTATTCAGAAGCACCACTGAGATCAATGAAGTTTCCTTCCTAGTAAGGGTGCCTCTGTGTATGTATTTCTTTTACAAACCAGTCTTTTCCATGGAATAGTCTAGTGTTTGTGGTTTATGCTGCAAAATTCTTCAGTCTACAAAGACTGCTAGGCACTTGTGGCTAGGCCTGGTTGTAAATAATAAAACAAAGCACAACACAGAGAAAATGTTTTCAAATGGCATGAAAGCATCCTATCTTTTGAAATACCTTTGCAGAACAAAACTTTTGCCATCACTTTAAATTACCCTCTGCTTCTTGTGCTGCTGTCCATTACTGAAGTTCATAAAAGACTAACTTAAGGAGCATTTTAAAGCTAAAAGCTCTGTTGTGCTCAGAAGAGAGGGGCTGCATACACCGAAACAATCTCTTGTTCCCTCTATTTATTTATTTATGTTTGTCTCGCCCAGCTCCTTCTTTGTCAACCACAGGTGTTTGGGAGCACATAATGCTCCCAATGCATCAGAAAAGAGGTTATTGTGAAAGACCTTTTCTTTTCCACTTGTCCTAAAACTACTCGCAAAGTGTTACATGCGTTATACCGATCACCATAAACATCAAGGAACAAGCAGTCCTCTGTAAGCTGGCCCAGCAGCTCCACTATGACATTAGTTGAGACAGCTTTGTGACCCTGCATTGTCTGGCCTTTATTCACAGAACCTGTTTCTTTTCATTTCTTTCTTGCATGTGTGTATGGGGAGGGGGTGCGCACGCACACACACATTTCACCCTTTTAGGGAAATAAAAGGCCTTTGGGGCATTTTTATTTACTGTAAAATGGACTGGGGGAAGGGAGAGTAAATTTATCTTAAAAGCTATACAGCAACTACTTGTGAAAACACTAGAAGCAGCTACTGTAGTTATGGTTTCCAGAACCACCTGCAAACAAGTGCAGACACCGTAGCAAACTGTGCCCTTGGGTTTTGTCACTGTTGTTTTCAGACTATTTCTTTTTTTAAAAATTCTTCTCTCTTGTCTTAGCGCAAAGCTTGCAGTGAATTTATGTGACAGCTATGAAAGTAGGACGCAAAATTGTGAACAAGAGCTAACCATTTTTCAAGCTTTCCTTGTTGGTATCATCACAATTTGCTACACAGCAGTGAATACTGAGTCAGTCCTGATAAATGGTTGAGAAGGAGGGAAAGACTGTACAGTCGGAGAGCCTCCAAATATCCCTCATAAGCATCCAGACTTGAATAAAGTGATTGGGGGCAGGGAGATAATCTATAGGGCCATTTTCCTTTCCTTTCTTCTGTCTCAAGGAGGGCATGTTTTAACAAAGAAATATTTGGTTCAATGGACTGGGTCTGAGGGCCAAAATAGATGAGACAGGTGTGTGAATGCATCTCACTCTTTAGCCTTTTGCAAACTGAAGCAATGTGGGGTTCCCATTTGGATTGGGACTATGGTGCATATAGAGAGGGCTTAACACATTCCCCTGTGCCATTTTTTCAATGAAAATCCCAAACATACACACAAACTCAATAAGTATAACAGGGCAAATAGCAAGAAAATGCAACAGAGGAAAAGGAACAGCCCTTGTTCCATCATGCCCCCACCCCAGGCTGCAATTTGCAGCAGTCTGAAGACTTGCAATTTGCCAACACACAGGCACACAACCTTCCATTGGAATCAAACTACCTGGAATAACTCAGGAAGGTCTACACAGGAACTTGCCTTGAATATTTGAACAGTAGAATATGAATTCCCATAATAAATAAAATACACAGAGCTATGCTAGTTTTGCTCCTGATCTTGTGTCCCTATGAACCCTGTGCCACTCTCTGATACACTGTAAAGAATCCTGGGACACCGCACTCAAATTTTGCCATGGTGCCACTCATGGTGCTAAAAAGTCTTGAGCCAGTCATGAGAAAGAGGGTTTATAGAATGCCAAAGCAGCAGCATTAAAGAGTAATATGGGATGGAAAAAAAGCTAACACCAGATGAGGAAAAAGCTGGGTCAGCCCTATTATTAGACACAGACCTGAATCATATGTGCTGTTAAGCCAAACAATGGTTCGTCAGAAACAAAAAAGCATGTGGGTTCCTAGAGAAACATGGCTGCTTTGCTCCCCTCCTAGTCCTCTTACTGCTATGCTGCTATGAGCTTAGCGCTTAAAGATTAGAAAACCCGAACTGTGGTCTAAGAGTGTTTCATTCAGGTGGTCCATGGCCTGTCTGTAAAAATACAATTTAAAATTGTATAGCACCTTTCGCAGCACATTATAGTTGGTACAACAGGCAGAAAAATCATTAAGAGCCAAAGCCCTCAGCAATTTTCAAGCAGTCTATGGCAAAAAAAAAGTTGGGGGACTTGGGGCTTATGCACACTTCTGCTTGTCCTGTGCCTAGAAAGCATGGATCTGAGTGGTTTTCTGTTTGTCCCATTCTTTCTAGGCATGTGTCTGAGCAGTTTTGCCTTTGCTCCGCCATTTCCCCCTGGAAAACATGCTCTTTAGCACTAAATTGGAACAAACGGCAATCCACAGAAAATGTGGTTGCTGTTTGTTCCACTTCAGCACTAAACCATAGGGGAAAGCGGTGGAACAAAGATGATCCCTCAGTGTGTCATCCAACAAAGCACAAGGTTTAGACAAAGTTTGCCATAGGGAGACAACGTATGAGACTGTTTTTGGATCAGATGTGAAGCCAAACTATGCCTTAGTTTGCAGAAGCAGAGGAGGGAGGACAAAGTGGCCATGATCTCCTCTCCAGTTATACCTTTCATACTTAGCCATATTTTGGCTCGGCTTTTATGAACCATGCCAAAATACGACAGACACCTTAGGAAGCTAACTTGGGGTGTCATGAAAGGGCAGCAAATGGTTAGCTATTTGATTTATTACAGTGCCAGTAAGCAAAGCTGCCAAAATAATTTGGCCAGTCCTGGGTACCATGTACCTCAACAGGGGTCATGGGAATAGCCAGGATTTTTGTTAGGGGGGGCAGAACCTCCCTAACCTTGATTTAGGGAGAGCAGCTGCCCCCCTTGTCCCCCCCTTGGCTACACCCATGACAGGGGTGAGGTTTTCTATTTGTTACTCTATCTCAAGCAGCAAAATGTATGACAGCCTCCCCTCCCACTTTTTCACAAGTGTGGTTTTATGTGACGGAATGGAAGGGTGCCTCCAAGCGTATGACTTTCTTCTCCTTACCTCAAGGGCATCAAATCCTTAATAGAACAGAAGTTGCCCTGATCCATCGCTTCGAGATTTCCTTAGGCTGTGGGAAGCGAGGAATACATCCATTAAACTGTGAAGCAGCCGGCCCTGCCATTAGGCAGAAACTGAGGCTGCATACACACCGCACACCCAAAGCACACAACTTTCGCCCCTCTCCCCAAGAATCTTGGGAACTCTAGTTTGCCCCTCTCAGAGCCACCACCCCAGCACCCCATTAACAAACTACAGTTTAGATGTATGGTGTGCAGTGCCGGATTTATGTATAAGCTAAATAAGCTATAGCTTAGGGCCCCACTCTCTTGAGGGGAAAAAACTGGATGTACATTTCCAAAATAAAAGATAAAAAACAAATAAAATAAAACCTACATACAGCAACAGTGTTTTGTTTTGTGTAGGCTCCTATGTCGTAAGTCATGGGCCCTGCCTGCTAGCCTGCTCCCTAAAATATCACTGGTTTGCTCATTTCTATATATAGGGTGCCTACATTCCTCATGGACTGGTTGCATGGCAACATGTGCAAATGGATTTAGATACCTATTAGATCCATATAGCATATATTCAACACAAAAAACAGCAACAATTTGTTGTTGACAAAGGACAGCTGGACATATAAAGGGCCCCATTACCTTCAGTAGCTTAGGGCCTCATCAAACCTAAATCTGGCCCTGATGGTGTGTCAACAGTTGATTTTGGGGCGCCATGAAAGGACCATAGCTGTCAACCTTCCCTTTTTTTGCAGGAAATTCCCTTATTTCAGCGCTGCTTCCCGCTGCTTCCCGCTGCTATCCCGGATTGTTAGATATCCCGTAGACCATCCCCGGGACAGGTGAGGCTGCTGATCCCTTACAGTGGTACCTCAGGTTAAGTACTTAATTCGTTCCGGAAGTCTGTACTTAACCTGAAACTGTTCTTAACCTGAAGCACCACTTTAGCTAATGGGGCCTCCTTCTGCCGCTGCGCCGCCACTGCACGATTTCTGTTCTCATTCTGAAGCAAAGTTCTTAACCTGAAGCACTATTTCTGGGTTAGCGGAGTCTGTAACCTGAAGCGTATGTAACCTGAAGCGTATGTAACCCGAGGTACCACTGTATTTTCAAATCTGAAAGTTGACTGCTATGGAAAGGACAGCGCCTTGCCATTGAACCGTTGTGGTGTTTTTCCCTGTCAGGATGGGGGAAGAAGTATTTTGCGGGGCGCTTTGCCTCGGGAGCCTAAAATACTTAGCCGGCCTTGGGCTGTAGGCGCGCTAGGCAAAGAGGAGGGAAGGGTGGAAGCGCGCCATTTGCAGCTCCGCTTGAGGCAGCCCTTCAAGGCCTTGCTTGGTTCTCCGCTGCCCAAGGGGGAGGCGGAGCAGCGTCGCCCTGTGTGTCAGAGGGAGATGCAGGCAGGCCCGGCAGCGGCGCGGCGGGGAGGAGGGAGCTCGAGTGAGAAAACGTCCCGAGCCCTGACGCTGCATCCGAAGAATAGGAAAGGAGCAATATGATCAATATGGTTTCTTTGTTGGGCCTCGCTTACCTCGGCGGGAGACCATCTGCTCCCTGTCAATGGATCACCTGCTTGTCTGGCTTGTTGGCCGGGCAACCGGTGGGTGGAGGGAGATTAAGCGGGAGCGGCCGGGGAAGGGCCTGTTTTTTGTTCCCTCTCGCGCTGTGAGGAGGGCGGGGAGGGGGAAACATGGAGCGGGCGGGGAGAAGGCCGGGCTCGGCTGGAAGCTGAAGCCGGCTGCGTTCGCCTTGCTCCTGCCTCGCCGCCGTCAAAGGCCGCGAGGCTCGCAGGGCGCGAGGGATGCTTTTGCACATTGCTCAGGGTGAAGATGCCCAGGGTCAGCCCCGCACACCCCTCGCGGCGGAGCTTCTTCTGCTGAAATGCTGAAAGGAGACGGGGGGGTGACGGTCGAAGAAAGGGCCTACTATATTGCACTACCACACAATAAACCGATAGTCCAAAAAATTGTGGTTGCTTGCTCCTCCAGGGGCCTCGCTTGGAGGGGTGGCGTGGTGAGGAAGGGGTTTGACAAAGGGGGTCGCATCTCTCCTGCCTTCAGAGATGTGTGTGTGTGTCGTTTTACCAAGGCACTTTTAAAAATGCTGATTTGTTGTTTTTTTTAAAAAAAATACTGTTTAAGGGGTGTGGGGGGAGGAAGGAGACAACAGCTTCAGTAAACCGTGCAATTGGAAAACATGCATCAAAGCAGATTCTGAGATATAAGCACGCTTAAGCAAATGTAGACACAGTGGTTCCCCCCCCCCTCAGAATTGAGCCCCACTGATTTCACTGGGGTTTACTACCAAGTGCAATACTGTAGTTACCCAGTTATAATAAATAAGTACCTCTGCATAGGATTGTGCCTGAGCTCATAAACGTACTTGCCAGGATATGAGCCCAAGGAATTCAGAATGCCACCCCTTTATTTCTTTTTTATATATAAAAATGGAAGATGGAAGAAATGCTAACTATAGTTTGGGACATATTGGATAAAGATATGCTGATTTTGCTTTTGGGGGGGTAAATTTGTTTATTTAAAAAGCAAGGCACATAAGCAAACCCTTAAGAAACTGAGCCACTGCAATCCTAACTATATCTACTCAGAAGTAAGGCCTGCTGAATTCAGCTGGGCTTACTTCCAAGTAAGTGGAGTTAGGGTTGCAGTCTTAGACTCTGGATAATATCAACATGGGAAGTGTAATGTCTAAACCGTGAAGAACCCAATCCTATCCCAGTGCTAAATCATATTCAACACTAGCCTTATGCTGTATTAAGAAAACATTGCAGCCATTGCTGTAGATGTTGGTGTTGAATTTAGGGACTTAGAGGTGCAAATCTTGTGCTCTTACTGAGCTGCTCAAGAACAACTAACTTTAGTTTATTCGTGTGTGTGTGTATGTGTGCTGCTCTTCATCTATGAACAATCCCAGAGCAGGCACAATTTATGGAAGTGATGCTCAGTGCAGCTCTGATGTGTCTTGTAAATTTATTATTATTACTCATCAATAAACCACCCCTTTCTGACACATGCATCCTATTCATCCCATTGAATGAAACACAGGTGCTGTAATCTAGCCCTACAGTTAGTCACTGCATCATTCATTTTATGCATATTTTCATGGTAGATATATTTCAAATGGTAAAAAAAAGAAAGAAAAGTAATTAGGCATCAGCTTAGATTGTTACAAGGATTTCTTCTTTAAGCCAGAGGCATGTGACAAGATGGCTTGGCACACTCTCCTGTTTGCTCTGAAGCAAAACATATACTGTTCTAGTTGAAGGCGTATACAGACTACAGTGTCCTCATTACTTTCATTTGAGCTATAACACTTAAGCCCAGCAGTGAATACTCAAGCTAGGGAAGGACCTATGTCAAAAGTGGGCAGCACCAGAAAAGCATTTCACCCCAGACTTGAAGGGGCCTTTAATGAGCCTTCAAATGAGATCAATGTGGTTATGAAGGTAAGAGCAGGAATTTGCATACATGTCAATCTTGCTCCTTCCCTTTAATTCCAGAGTTTTCATATTGACAATACAGTGCATGACTGAATGTGCTTACTGGCCACAAGTTGAATGTTTCACTTCCAACTTGGGGGGCTTCAGTTCTGCAGTCCCTGCAATGGGCAGCATCCCCAGCAACTCGCCACCAGGGGCAGTAGGGCCAAACAGAGTTGTACTGTGCTATTTGCTGGAGATAATGGGGAGAACCAGTGGGAGCCGATAGAGTCAGATCGCCTGTAGGCACCCTGAATTTTGAACAGGGGCATTATTGCTCAGCTCTTTCCAATCCAAATCTAAGCTTAAACATGTGTGACTGCCATTGCATATAGCCATCCTTTATTACTCTGGTCTTTTCTTTTCTTTTCCTCCCACCCTTTCATCTGTTACCTCCTGTTCTGTCAACATTTGGATTGCAGGCTTCTAGGGAAAGAGTATTGTCTTGTTGCTTATATTATCCCCCATAAAGCAGCATGTACATTGACAGTACATCAATGTCCATCTCCCTGTTCCCTTCTTTGTGTTAGCTCGTGTCCTGAAGGGCAGAGAATTGTCCTCTTATACCAGTCAAATTGATGGTGCTGTGTAAATGATTACAGTAATAAATGGTAACAGTGCTGTGGAAATGGTAAACGACAAGCTAAAACTGCATCAAAAAGTAGATGTAAACAATGGGTTGTTATTTATTTGTTGTTATTATTGTGAAGGCATTTCTGCTTCAGAACCCAGTAGCTTGGATTGTTTTCCATGCAGGATATGTCTTGTAAGCTAAAACAATGTCCATGAATCAAGCAAAGAGTTTGCAGAATTATTTGTTTCAGACAGGAAAATCTGTCAACACAGGTAAATAGAATTGTCTGGCTCAAACCTGGAGATGGAGAAAAGGGCCTTCTGAATGCACTTTCAAGGATAATTAAGTGGCAGCGCTGGATGTTGTTATCCTTTCCAGCACACTGGAGCTCCGTTTCAGGATGATGATGTGAAGCTCCGAACTTTATGTGGCATCTGCCATGCATCACTGAAAGACAAAGCATGGCTTCCAGTTAATGGTTGCTTATTTCCCAAGAGGCTGTCAAAACATGTAAAGTGCCAGGAGGAGATATCATTTTAATATGAGAAACCTCATTTTTAAGTGGTACTTTTATACATTAAAAAGGCATGCTTCGGAACGGTTCTTTTTGCATGAGTAGCATAATGCATGGAACGAATATTCAGGGCTTGCAACTGCTAAGGGCCCACATCCCGGCAGGCAGAGGGGCCACTGACAAGAGCCCCCTGGACCTGCTCTTACTCTTCACCATTGCAGCCTGCTTGTTGGCTTTCTGCCCGGCAAGCAAATAGGTGGTAGCGGTGATGGGAAAGAGGTGGTAGAATCATAGAATTGTGGAGTTGGAAGGAACCACAAGGGTTATCCAGTCTGACCTCCTGCAATGCAGGAATCTTTAGTCTGACATGGGGCTTGAACCCACAACCCTGAAATTAAGAATCTTGTGTTCTACTGACTGAGCTACACGAATGGAGGTAGACTCACTGAGAGAAGCGTCTTGCCCAAAAGCTTTTCCGAAGCAAGAGCTCATGCAGCAAGGCCTCTTTAAAATATGGCCCCATCTGCACTGTACATATAAAGCAGTATCGTATCACTTTAAATATAGATGGCTTAACCCAAAGAATCCTGGAAACTGTAGTTGGTTAAATATGCTGAGTGTTGTTAGAAAACCCATATTCTCCTTAGAAAACTACAGTTTCCAGAGTTCCCTGAGGAGAGGGGCTCTGGAAATTGTGGCTCTGTGAGGGGTCTCCTAACAACTCCCCACATCCTTAAACTAATTCCAAGGATTCTTTGCCTTGTCTACTCTAAAAGGATAGGGCAGACATGGCCTCTGTATATCCATGGGTGAACACTCCTTGGAATCACTCACTTCATTCTGAGTTAAGCAATATCACCCATAAAGCAGGCCTGCCAAGGGTTTGGAATTGTGAACTGTCCTCATGCCACGGGCAGATCTACAGTATCAAAACATTCAACGAGAGACTCCTTCGTTCCATCGAGGAAAGACACCGTTTGTCTGTGCTGAGAAGTTTGGAATCCTGCGAGCCTTTTATTCCATTGAAATGTCTCCTCTGCCCCACCCCAGTTGCTACTTGAGTCCCAGAAGAGGTTAACATGCACAGCAGCCATTGCTTGCAAGGAGTGGGAAAATGCCATGTGCAGCCGCAGCTTCTTTTCAATGCACTTGAGGCTTTTTAAACGCTCTGTAAACGTCAGGGTTCCTCGTAAGAATGTTGGCACCTCCCTCTTGAGAATGGATGGTGCCTCTCTGGCTACATAAGCAATTATCCTCCCACCCAGAAAATAAGAAATAAAGGGAAAGATCATACTGTATATACAGGCTCAGATCCAGCTAAAGTTCTGTTGCACGTGCGTTATGGCTTTAAAGCACATGGCTTCTCCCAAAGCATCCTAAGGACTGTGGTTTGCTAAGAGTGCTGGGAATTGTAGCTCTGTGAGGGGTAAACTTCAATTCTATGGAGTCTTTGAGAGAAGAATATGGTGTGTGTCTTAATTTACAGTGGAATCCTAGGCATGTTTGTGCTGAGCAACCCTAAGCATGCGGACAGTAACTTCAGATGAGAAAGAAAGTGTCAATATCATTTATCTCAGCAAGGTATTTTCAGCATTACATTTCAGCACCTGTATTAGACAGTGCCTTCCTACAAATACGTTGTGGAGTCCGGTACACCTGAAAAAAACTTTTTTATCTGAATCAGTCTCAGGTTTAATCTAATTTTCTTTGTAGCTTGCTGCCACTGAATAAGTTGGTCCTTTTCTATATAAGAAGTTCCATAGCTCTTCCAATATACATTTTTTATCTGCATAATCTGAAAGCTAGTTTCCACACACACACACACACACACACACACACAGAGCACTGCCTCTCTGCTTTTAGAAATCAGCATTGCAAAGACTTGCTTTTATTCAAATGGAGATGATGAAGGCATCTGAACAGTCAAAGAAAGGGAGGGAAAGTCGGGGGGGGCTATGCTGGGGATCTGTTAATTAATTATTGTGGAGATGGGCAACAGAAATGTGTCGGCATAAACAACATATGTGTTCTGTCCCCCTATTCCTCCCAGGAACATTTTGAGTTTCCCCTCTTCCTGTCACTAGGCTGCCATAAGCTTCCAAAATATCACCTGAAATAAAAAAAGTTTCCCACACACACAAATACACCTTAAAGTTTTGCCATTGCTCCATGTAAAGTTGATAGCAACAGCAGCAACTCAGTTTGCCTATTCCTTGCAACAAGCTAAAGGCAGTCAGCAAAGCTATGCTTTGGGAATTGGTTACACCGGACCTAAAATGCATATCATAAGGACAAAGGGCTAGGAAGGGTTGTCAAGAACAGGGACCTGCACTGTATGAGCTGAGATGACACATGATATCATGAATAGCTCTTTACAAGTCTGCTGAGTAAGAAACGCCTGCCCCTTTTCAGACTCTCAGCACTTAACAAAAGATTTGCAGGAGCAGGAGCAGGCATATGGGGTAACAAAAAATTGTGCAGGCCAGACATTTTTGTGGGCTTCTTTGAATGCTCTGATCACATATGTCCAGAGGTGTAACTAGAGATGGGTAAGCTTCAATGAGTTCAATCTGGAATGGGCTCACCCAAAATGAGCTTGATATGAACCAGTCTGAATTAGCAAAAAAAATAAATAAATAAAAAATGGAAAGAAGAGATACACATGAAGGAAATTTGACAGAACCAAATTAATAGAATAGAATTAGTAACCATGACCGCAAAACTAAGGAATAAGGATGAGTTAAAGATAAGAGGAGAGTAGAGGTGTTTTGGAGATTATCTTAGAGGATACAATATGCAATTTGACCTACATAGGAGGGACACGGGATGAGCTGTGGTCTAAACCACTGAGCCTCTTGGGCTTGCTAATCGGAATATCAGCAGTTCGAATCCCCACAATGGGGTGAGCTCCCATTGCTCTGTCCGAGCTCCTGCCAACCTAGCAGTTCAAAAGCATGCCAGTGCAAATAGGTACCGAAGTGGCGGGAAGGTAAATGGCGTTTCCATGCGCTCTGGCACTCATCACGGTCATCCGTGCGCCAGAAGCGGTTTAGTCATGCTGGCCACATGACCCAGAAAGCTGTCTGTGGACAAACGCCTGCTCCCTCGGCCTAAAGCAAGGTGAGTGCAGCAACCCCATAGTCGCCTTTTCTGGACTTAACCGTCCAGGGGTCCTTTACATTTACCTTTACCTAACATATGAGCGGCAGATAACATCAAAAAAGGAAGACTTGAAATGATAATGGGTGAAATATCAGGATATGCAGCAGATCAAGATTTCCCTCGAATGCCACAGACAGCTGGATGGGAAGTCTTAGGAAAATAGATGAGTGGTGGATACTGCATCATGTGTGTATAAAAGCTGTTAAAATTTCACAAATAAAAGTTTTTTTTTTTTTAAAAAATGAATTAGCTTGGTTTCAGCTGAGGCCTGTTCTGAGCTCTATGTCTCATGGGGCATCTGATGATATACCTGTAATCAGGAACATGACAATGCCTCAAATCCTTCAGTGTCCCTGTTTTCCAGGGCCAGTCCTGGATTTAGAGAAGCCATCCCAGCTGGATGGTCCTGGAACGTCCTGCTTTTCCTTAAGACATCCCTATTTTCAATGGAGAAATGTTGGAGGGTATAATGCCTTGTTATGAACCAAGAAGCCCTGGGAGGATACAGGGCACTGATACAGGTTTACGTTGCCACCAGCTGGGGAGCTGCTCCATGCTGCCATCCCTGAGCATGATGCAGGTGATCAGGGGAATGTTAAACTGGAGGCTGGCAGATAAGGACCATCTGACCTGAATCTCACAGCCCCAGGGCCTCCTAGAGTCCTTCCTCTCGCCCCAAGGAATTGAGTACCTTTCATACCTCCTTAACCGTCCAATGGTAGAGGAAGCACACGAAGCAAGAGTCAATGAAAATCAGGAGAAAAAGCTGTCCCAACTCCAGTTATTCAAAAGGATGGATTGGAGGCAGAGGCTGATAAGTTTACCTCCAGCCTTTGAGCAGTTCTGCTCACTAGGAGCTAGCCTTAATCGTGTGACAAGAGACCTGCCTTCCTTGTTTTCTCTGTGAAAACAAAACATTTGATGGCATATAGTGTGGTGCAGTGGTTATAGTGTTACACAAGGACCTGGGAGAGCGGGGATTCAAATCCCCACTCAGGCACAAAGGTCACTGGGTGACCTTGGGCCAGTCACTATCCCTTGGCCTAACTTACCTCACAGAGTTATTTCGAGGTTAAAATGTGTGGGAGAAGAACCATATGCCACCCCCTCCAGCTTTGTGGAGGAAAGGTGAGGTGCAATATATATATATATATATATATATATATATATATATATATATATGGAAATAACAGTAACAATAATAATAAATAAATAGCAGAATATGTTGACCAGGTTTTTCAGTTCACCTTTTTTTTTTATCACCACGGTGTCACATTAAGCCCAACCTGTTTATCAGTCTTGGTGAGCTTTGCACAGTGCACTAATTATGCTACTCTTAAAATCTTCTGACCTGCTAGCTATGAGCCAGAAATAGAGAGGATATCAGGATAACGGGTGACAGTCATTTAAGTTGCCAGCATTTTCCGGCTTCCCATTATGACAGGGTGTGTATCTAGGGGTATAGAGACATATACTTTGGCCTTCAAAGAGGTCACATAAAAACCTCTTTTCAGCCCACAGGGAAGGTGAAAATGTAGCATGCATACAAAGGGGAACTGTGTTTCAGCTGCCAGGACCGGAACTAATGACAGTCAAACAAAAGTTCATAGCTCAGTTCAATCAACGAGCTTGACAGGCAATGGTTCCTCTCAGTTCATTTGCATTGGCAAAATGCAGGCAGCTCCTTAGAAAGATTGTCTTCTATGGGCTTCAGTGAGCAGCTAAAAGTTGTGTCATGTGATTCTCCACCTCCCATTTTATCCTCACAACAACCCTGCGAGGTAGAGAGAAAGTGACTGCGCAAGGTCACCCAGTAAGCTTCTTAGCACACTGGAGATTTTAATGTAGGTCTCCCCATTCCTAGTGTGAAATCTTCACAATAACACTCTGCTGGATTAGGCAGGACTGGAATGCAGATTTTGGATTGAGCAGGGAATGTTCAGTTGTTACTGCAGACAATTCGCTTCAGAAGCAGTGATAGCGGGTGCCTATTGGGACCGGTAGGGTAGAGGGCAGGGAGACTGACAGTAGGTGGCGCCAGAGCCAAAGACAGGCAGCGCTAACAACAGCTTTGTACACACTCCTGTATCCACTGTGTTTCTGCTGCTGGTTCGAGAAGCTGTATACACATGGCCTTAGCCACAACGTATATCTATCTGTATCTATGCTGATGTTTTTCATGAAATGCTGCAATTTAGTGATGGACTCCCCTTCATTGGAGGTTTTGAAACAGAGGCTGGATGGCCATCTGTCAAGGACTCTTTAGCTGTGATTCCCGCATTGCAAGGGGTTGGACTAGATGACCCTTGGTATCCCTTCCAACCCCAGAATTCTGTGATTCTGTGATGTATTTTCCCCAAAACCACCTTCAATCCAAATTCAGAAAAAGAATGACCTAGCTTTGTTTTAAGCCAGTAACATGTACACAGCCTAATTCCAATTTTGTCCCCATCCTTCTTCCTGCTGAGTTCCACATGGACAAAACTGAGGCTAAAGAGGAGGAAACTAACCAGCTGATGACTTTGAGGTTGTGACCCATTTGCATTTCTCTTCTCCCCCCACATTCCATGCATTACTGCTTCCACACTACAGATATGTTCAGGCTAAAATGCAAACAAAACCCAGTTTGCCAACCATGTGCAGTTTTGCATTTTAAACTCACTGCATGTTAGCTACAGCAATAAAATGGCAATTCGCTCCTGCTATCCTGACGCTAAATATGTTTCCTTGGGCACATAAGCACCATCCATAGAAATGGATAATACATTTGTAATGTGCAAATAATAAAATGAGCATCAGTAACCATGTTCACGCCCAGTCAGCCACACGTTGACTATAAAACATTTTTTTAAAATAAGGAAGGAAGGATGCCATGGTGACTTGATTCAGCGCTGGTGGGCTTATGCTGGCCAAGGTGCTGATGCAGAGCCTGTTAGCTCCTTCCCCTGTCATCTATTGCAAGAGGCAGACATTATATACTAGAATCTTAGAATTCTAGTAGAGTTGTAGAGTTGGAAGGGACCACAGGGTCATTTAGACCAACCCCCTGCAATGAAGGAATCTTTTGCCCCATGTAGGGCTCGAACCCATGACCCTGAAATCAAGAGTCTCATGCTCTACCAACTGAGCTATCCCAGTAGTAGTACAGAAATTGTAAGAGAAAGTTGCCCCAGACTTTCTTGGCTTATTACCCTGCAAAGATTTCCCATATATTTTTGTTGAGATCCTACACAAAGGATTGTCCAAAACAATTAAAATAAAATAAAGATGTTAACATTTGAGTTACACAGACACATGCAATATGTCTCTGAATACCAGTTGCTGGGGAAAGAGGCAGGAGTTGTGGGCTTCTCATAGGCATATGAATGGCTGCTGCGTGAACAAGGCTGCTGCACTAGATATGTCTTTGGCCTGATCCTGCAGGCCTCTTCTTAACGCACATTTTTAACTAACGTAACGTCAGCATGTAATCTTGGAAGCAAAAGTCTACACCTCTGCAAGGAAATATGATACGAATGTGTTCAGGAGCCACCAATTTCAGAATGGTAGCCGTTAGATTTATAAAAGTTGGTCAGGGGAGCGAGAAAGGTGGTTGAAATGGCAGCTATTTCAACCGGCTATAATCTACTGCAATTGCTTTTATTCTGCTGCCACCTGGTGGAAATAACATTAATTTTGCTTTGATACTTGGAATCCAGGCATTCTGGGTCACATAGGTCACAACTGTTCTCCTGAAACTGATCTTAGGTCTTGCAGTACTCTTAAGGCTGGTCTCTCCCATTTATAACCATTTATAACCATTGCACTTTATGATGATGATGATTTATTAAATTTGCATACCGCCCTACACCCGTAGATCTCTGTGTGGTTGACAACATAAAACTGTAATATAAAATTAAAAAGTAATAAAAATAAGTACAAACCAAAAAATCCTTACTCCCGCAATACATTTAAAAGGGCATTGGATGTCAGTTAGCCAAAGGCCTGGTTGAAGAGAAACATTATCACCTAGTGCCTAAAGGTGCTTTAGAGGTGGCCTAGGGGCTCCTAAATTTTCATAGTGGGTCCTGATCTCCTTCCCACCCTTTCTTAAAACCTTCCCCCCTTCAAAAAAACACTTTGCTTATATGGAAAGGGATCCAGTGGCCCCCTAGATGTTGTTGGGCTCCGACTCCCCAAATCCCTGACCATTAGCCAGGCTGGCAGAGGCTGAAGGTGTTGTTGTAGTTCAACAACATCTGGAGGGCCACAGGTTCCCCACTACTGGCTTACAAGGTAGTTGGATTCACTGCAAAGTGCACTGCTAGTAGAACTCAACAGGAAGTAGGAGAGAGGATAAACTAGAATTGGTGGGCTCTGCCTGCTAATGTCTGTGGCGCCATCTACAGTTGGGCTCCCCACTTTCCACCCTACCAGTCCCTATACGCACCAGCTGCCACCGCTTTTAAGTACCTAGCAGCACTTTAGTTGAGAAAAAGCCTCTTATTGGCAACAGCAGGCCTGGCCAACTTTGCTTCTGGTTACCTCACAAATAACTTCTCTATAATCTGTCTGCGATGATGGGCTGGTTGGATGCAGAAGAATGGTGGGAGGAACCAACCGAGGAATCACTAAGGGAAGAAGGTGCAGAGCTTTGGGACAATGATGGTGGGACAATGATGAGTGGTCACAGGGAGAAGACGGGGAGGAGGAGGTGTCAGAAGCTGAAGAGGTAGCAGGGCTTAGTGAGCTGGGAGAGTGTGTGTCAGAAAGAAGTCCAGAATCAGAGGCAGAAGCTGAAGCAGGAGGGAGGCCAAGAGGCAGAGATGAGTCAGGCTGGTGAAGAGTCCTGGGCATCTCCCCCTCCTGCTATGACAAGCTCCCCACTCCACTGACTGCCAGAACCAGAAGAGGCATGAAACAGGAGAAGCAAAGAGAGCCACACAGGTACAGTCTCTGAATGCTTGGGGAAAGCCCTCAAGATGAAGATACATAGATGGCTTGGGGGTACCTTTAGTCTTGGCAACTGATTTCATAGAGTAAGACCTACTGGGAATGAGCTGCTGTGCTCCATTAGGCCTGCACCCACTCAAGTATGTGAAGATCATCTTTTTGCTAATAAAAAGTTAACTCCAACTTTTAACTGTGTGATTTACTGGCCGGTTTGCTCTCTGACACTCTAGGTGGTGGTGGAGAGAATCACTTAATCTCACATCATTTTATAATTTTCAGTGTGATAGTTCAGGTCTTGGTCCATTTAAAATTGTTGTGTAGATAAAAATGGGTGGTGGTGGTGGTGGGGACTTGTATGCTATCCTGTACTCCTTCTAGAAATGGGTGGGACAGCAATGTGACTAATAACGGCACTGAAAAGTATGATGTGTCGTTGGGGATATGCAACATTGGGTGCTGCAGTCTTCAAGCAACGGGTGAGAATGTGGGAACGGGGCCTTTTTCTCTACAGCCTTTTAGATGGAAGGGGCCTCTAAGAGTAATTACCAGACTCCCTCGAGGTCTCATGCAATGCCGTCGGTGGTCCCCTGCATTGTCCGAGCACCGCTTGTCTCGCTGATACGGCTTCCCTTAATGTTCCTCCTCAGCGAAGGCTTCTGCACTGTTGCTTCGGATAGAGCTGCCTTTTGTTTGCAATTTCACCAGCTGAGAGAGTCTTTTAAGAACAAAGGGAGCGAGCAAGCTGCAGAGGCCACTGGAAAGATCTAATCTGTGGCTAAGACCACCCCTTGACTGACAGCGTGCACCACCATCAGCTGTAGGCCCCATGAACACTTTCTCATTTCAGTCAGCTGTCTTTGCCTTCTCCCTCATTAGCGCTGATGAAAAGCGACAGGCTGCAGCAGACGCAGAGCATTCCTCAGCATACCATCTGCAGCTCCGGCCGAAGGCTTCCAATGGGCTTTCTCATAATTTATTAGTTCTGTCAGTCTCTGCCTCTCACACACCCATACAAAGATGGCTGCCATCATGACAGAAACCAAGATTTGTAACGGCACAACTCCTGCAAGGAGTTTCAGAGCAGTGCCCTGACGCTGAAGTATTCCATAAATTGCTGTGCCCAACTATAGCTTTCTCATTCTTAATGCTAAATGAAATTATTTGCCCTTTGCTGCAATCCAGGGACAGGAGCTGTAGAAAATGTTACAGGCTCCCAGAAGCAATGTTTATGGTACCAAATATGAAATGGAGGCCAACAACCTATATCAATTTCACAAGAAACATTCCATGCTTTTATTGAAAGATTGACATTTCAGGTTTTCCTCTTCTCTTTTTTTCCCCCAAATTGCTCTTTATTGAGTTTTTCCACAAACAAAATAAAACAATCTTTACAATCATTCTTAGTGTCGTCTTATTTACATTGCGTATAATCACGCCCCGACTTCCCTCCTTCCCAGTTGCGGTTTTCTTAATATACATCTTCTCTTACAGTTTCTTCTTCATTTCTGTACATGTCACAAGAGTTATGTTAACCCTGCTGTAGGTTTTAAACTTCTGCAATTAATTCCTATATATGTTACAAATTTACTCCATTCTTCTACAAACTTTGCCCCTTTTTGGCATCAGATTTTGTACGTCATTTTCGCTAATTCTGTATATCCAAATAGTTTAGCCTGCCATTCCATAATCGTTGGGATCTCCGGCAACTTCCATTTTGAGGCTACGAGGATCCTAGCTGCTACCATGGCATATTGAAATAATTTATAATCTTCGTTTTTTATTTCCTCCCCTATTATCCCTAAAAGGAAAGCCTCCGGTTTTTGGGGGAATGTGTACCTAAAAAGTTTCTTGAGTTCATTATATATTAGATCCCAATTTTTTTTCATCTTTTCACATTCCCACTACATATGGTAGAGATCCCCATCCTTAAGCTTGCATTTTCAAGAGGCTTTGTTACCCAGTTTGTACATTTTCGCCGGTCAAATTGGTGAAAAAGGTTTTCCTCTTCTCAAATCCACTTTCTCACATAACAAAACAAACAAACCACTTTCTCACTACCCACTAACAATAGCTTTTGAAAATCAAAGGGATGACTGCTTCCCTGAATGATGGGAGGTTGCATATCCCAATTTTCCCCATCTCAGAACTACTCCTCCGTGCCCTTGCCCCTTCCTACACTCCCCACCTGCATCCATCCTAGATGTGATCTGCCTCATTACTTTTTCTGTGTTGCTCATATCTGTTGCCAAGAAGAGAGCACTTGAAGCACTTCATGGCTTTATGGGCTGTTACTGTTTCCCACCATGTGTTGGCGTGTTGCTTGTTTCGCCCAGCTGTGTAACTCTGTAGATCTGTTATTATAATTTTATTTTTTAGCGTAGATGTGAACAAGGTGCTGGGTTCCTGCATTCCACTGTGTTCCACAGCCTCTTTTTCCCAGCTGCTGGTATGGCTGCCATACATAGGAGCCAACTCCTAGGGGCTGTGGGCGCTTCAGCCCCCATAATAAAAATATTTGAGGGGGCCAGTCCCCCACAAAGTTGAAGGGCATTCCCATTCAAATGGTGTCTGTGCACTGCGTCGTGTGATCAATTATGCGGGTCTGAGCTTGTAGCCTTATTTACCTATGGGTCTGGGTCCAGTCACCTCGTACCCTCGCCAGGAGCATGAAGGAGTTAAGCAACGCCAGGGTGTGATTCCACAGAGAAAAAGTTTATTCGGTTACTGCGCAGCAGGTACCAGCGGAATTGCTTCCAAAGTCTGGCACACACATACAGGTCATGCAAAGCCTTTTATACATTGGTTTCCTCGCCCTGTTCAGCCCCCTGAGCCTATCCCATTCATGTGTCCAGCCCCCCACGTACTGACTGTGCTCGTGCCTAAGTCATGTACACCTCGTGCTCAGGGTGTGCCCACCGCATGCTCAGGGTGTGCTTATCAACAGGGAAGCTCGTGACTGCGGTTAGTACTGTGCATGTGAGGAGCGTGATCACCGCCTGGGCTTACTTGGGCCTTGGGCCTGTCTCATCAGGGCTGTTGTGATAAGATAAGAACAGGGCCTCTTTCTCCTTCATTAGAAGGGGGCCTCTTTCTCCTTCATTCCCTCCTCTTCTTTGTGATCACTGACAGGTGCATCAACAGGGACAGGGCGGTATTCCCTCATGTAAGCTATCACACGGGGACCCATAAGCTGGAATCATCTTTGCATCATACTTCCACCACACCTTGCATCAAGCAGGGGATACAGAAGCAAAGAAGCAGCAAAATTAGTTACTAATGCAGGAATGGAGGTTGTAACCCCAGTTCCTCCCTGAAGATGCTGTTCAGTGGTTTTCAACCATGCACTAGTGTCAGAGAAGATAGCAATGGGAGAATTGCTGCCATGGTTGATTCGTGGACATGAACTGTGAACTTGAAATCATAATACGCAGTTGGGGTAAACACATGACCTGGATCCTTCAAATTTAAACAAATGTGACAAGTTGAAAAGCGTGTTGAGCAGCCAGGGGCAGCAATATCATTAGGATTTATCTTATTGGATTATGGAAAGTTCCTGTCAATAGGTATGCCATATACGCATTAGCTTGAGATGCTCGTATGAGGTGGAGATAGTACCATACACAATAACAATTTGAAGCCTTCAGCAGAGTAGCAACTTGAACCATATCTATAGATATTCTTTTTACAGTTTGTGATGATCCTCTTTGTTAGCACAGATTGATCAGTGGGAGAGATCTTGAGGGTTAGGTGACACTGTCTAATCTGATGCATTCTGTACATCACACAGTATCAGGTGGACCAAGGAGCGTGCCAGCATGTCACAGCACGGTGGTGTGGAAAGCCTGGTCTCCGGAGTCCCACCTTCAGCAGACTTTAGTAGAGCCTGGAATTTGATCTTTCACCACTTCATCGCCTGGCTCAAGAAGCGATTGCCAGAGGAGCTGGGTCCCCATTAAGAAGAAGAAGAGTCTGGAAGTGACTGAACATGAGTATCATTTCAACATCTGGACTGGATGGGGAAGCAATAATTATGAGGAACAGGCCTCTAAACATCAATAGGGAAGATAAAGTTGGCTTGGATGGGCCTTAGACCAGGACCAGACAAAGACAACATAGTTGCCGCTGGACCGGTCTCCTGGAACTAACGCCCAACTAGTTTTTAATGTTCTGTCATCTGCTCTACCTTCCGGAGCTTTGGTGGGCGCCACGTCATGTAGTTCGATTATTTACCTTCTTAAATTCTTTTGAAGCATTTCCGTGGGTATTGTCATTCTTAAATATCTTCTTCTCTCATTGCCATGAAAGCCTGATGAGGTCAGCGGGGTGGAGTCCGCAGCGGTCCACCTCTCTCTTCCACTTCTAGTTTCCTTTACGGATCCTTGATTTCAGGATGTGGTGTTGACCTGCGTCACCAGGGGGTGCAGAGGGACATGGTCTGTTCCACCAGTTGCTTTGGGGGCATTTTCCTTTTCAAGTGCCACTTCTGGCGACAGATGCTTTTGCTCGTTTTAGCCCCAAGCGGCCTCGCCCTCCTCCCGGGCAGGTTCCCCGTGCTGCTGTTGCCCGGTAGCATGAGCCAGTTCTTGGCCTCGGTAGTTCTCTCTTTCTTCTTCTAGGCTGCCCTGTCTCTCCTGGTTATCTGTGGTTGTGCCACCTCTAACATCCACTCAACCTGGCCTGTGAACCCTTCTGTTTTCTGATTTTTTGGGTTCCTATATGTCTGCAGGGTGGTCCGAACATTCTGTCCTGATGATCCAGGCAGGGGGGTGGCTCAGGGTGGCTGTATCTGTCGTCCTCAGCCAGACCCTGCTGCCCTCATCCACCCTTGCTTCACTGGACCCTCTGACACTCAGGTTGATGAGGGAATCCCAGAAGGTACTGTATATCTCAGTGGATCATAGGTTTCAAATATCCACTTCAAAAGTTTAATAATCTGTGATTCTCTCAAAGGAAGAGTTATAGTTACATAATTGCAAATATCAACCCCAGTTAGAAAGCTGTATAGGTTGTGTAAGTCACGTGGTGCTGCCACCCCTCCCCTGTCCTGCTGGGCCTGGTGGGTCATAAGCGCGGAGGGGCATCTGGCTGTAAACAGATCACTGTTCTCTCTCTCTATCATGGTGGGTGGCAGCTCTGCATTGCTGCAGCCCAGCCCACCTCTTGTTGCTGCTGGCCATCCTCCTGGCCGCGCCACCTCCCCATCAGGACTGCCATCCACCTGGTCTTTCCAGGTCTACCTTAGTCCTTCCTCCATTCTTCCTTCTTACTCCCTTCTGTCCTTACTTCACCTTCTCTTTTTCAACATCCACCAACAGCCATTATTATCCTCCTTCTAAATCATGTTACTTTCGTCCTCCTTATGTCTCGATTTGTGGTCCTTGTCTATAGGATTGGTTGGCTCCAGCTTACCACCAACTAGTTCAGAGTTATCCTGCAGATTATTCTATGTGGTGCCCTGGGTGTTGACCAGTCCACCTTACAGAGGGTCTAAGCCTCTCCTTCTTCAACAATCCCCAATGCGTCCTTCTTTTATTGTTCAGTTGTTAAGGCTTGTGCAAAGGGTGCATTTACTGTTCCAGCCATGTTCACCAAGTCTCCATCTCGTCAAATCACACCTTTCTCCTTAGACACTACAGACTGTGTGGCCGAGCTGCCCAAGAACCGCACAGACCTCACGCTTGGCCACGGAGACGCTAAGCCCAGCCTCTCACACATTCATCCTTTCACCGGAGTATTTCTCGCACAGCACACAACCCCACCACTTCCCGCACCTCGCTGGCTTTCCCAGGTAGCCCTTCCAAGCGACACTCTACTACCACTGCCAGGTGAGGTTAATTAAGCCTCAAGCCCCTCTCACACACCCCAGGTGCCACACTCCTTCCAGAGTCACCCTTGTGCCCTTCCCCTCAAGCGTCCTTTTTCTCCTGGCGGACGTCTCACTCTGGGGCAGTGTGCTGAATTCCCCAGCCAGTAGGTGTGGAGCCGTCAGCGCGATCAGGCTGTGCGGAGTGTCTGTGCCAGTCTCTCTGGCGGATCCCGGACGAGCCCCCAGAAATGTAGCCTCTTTCTCCTTCATTAGAAGGGGGCCTCTTTCTCCTTCAAGCTTACCTGGGCCACCACAGTATTTTACTTAAGTTGGTACCCCTACTGCCATAGAAACCTTTTTACTACCTATGCCATGCAATAACCACCAGCCCTTGCCACGATAACCCCTCCCTTCCTCCAAGTGCCTGTAAAGAAAGGGAAAAGCCTGTGCAGAACCAAAATGTATTCTGGTTTTCTGGAAATGCAGCACTGGAGTATTGTTGAGGGAAGGATTGAAGGAAATGTGTTGCCTGCTCTGTCTTCCTCTCTTCCACTAATGCACATGCGCCGGCAAATATGCAAGAGAGGGTAGATTCAAGGGCCACCTACAGGCGGACCATGGGAGGGCTAAGCAAAATGCAGCACATGAAACAAAATGCACTATATAAAACAAAGGAAGTGTGGACCTGTTTAATTGATAAACATAGAGTTATGTGAATCATTAACGAATCAGATAGGCATGGGATTACAGAGGTTTGGGAAATGGATTTTTCGTTGTGGTGTGTGTGAGCCATAGAATGCTCTCAGTAAGTCTGTGAGATACGCAGAACGCTTCCGTCTTCTTCACTGAAGTCTATTAGTAGTGTTCAGTAGAGGAAGTAAAACACTAGATATAAGAAAATAGAGACAGGTTCTCAAAGTGCCCAGTGAAAGTTTACTGTGGTTAATTGCACAGTGCATTTGTGACTCCTCTTGCAAGATGCCACAAGGCATATAAGTAAGGTATACAGTTCCATAATATACACAAGCAGTTCGGGACTATTTGTGCATAACACATAATAAGCAATGCACTAGCAGAAGCTAGCGCAATGAGTCCTGCTAGCGACTCCCTACCCTCTCCCACCCTTTACTCTCCCCCAGTCTGTTTGGGTGAGTCAGGAAAACTCCAGGACAACACAAAGAGGGGAGATTGTTCTGTCTGGAAGCAGAAATGCTGGCACTGATGGAACGATCTCCTTAGCATGACATTGAATTCCACCCCAAGAGTCTAATATGTTCTCAACTATCGAAGAATGGCAGATGAAGATGATGGACTATATGGAACTTACCGAACTGACCAGAAGACTCCGAGACCAGAGAGAAGAGACAGTGGAAGAAGATTGGAAGAAGTTTAAGGAATATTTGAAAAAATATGTTAATATTTAAATCTTAGAATAGCTTTGGAAGTGGATATAGGCTGTAGGGTTAGAAGTAGAAGATAGTGTATTTTAAAACAGTATTATTTGTAAGTGATAAAATGTGAAGTTATTTTAAGTGTGATAAAAAAAAATGGTTAGAAACTATGATATATGTAAACTGCTAAAGATGAAGTAAAATGAAAATCAGATAGGTGGGACTTGAGGAAGCCCATTTAACAATGTTTAGAAAAGAAGGATATGACAAGAATTTGTTTGTATTATTCATTTTTCTGTTTTTGTTCTTTATTTGTGTTATAAAGTGAATAAAAAAAATTCGGGGGGAAAAGAGTCTAATATGTTCTGATGCACTAAGCTTTACTCAGAGTCAGCCCATTGAAATGAATGGACCTAACTTGTGTTCATTAATTTCAGTGGGTTTGCTATGACTATTGCTTCATTGGATACCACCCATAATATGGGAAATGCATGTCGGGGTGCAGAAATCTAATTCCGCAAACATTCCTAGTGAGACCTTAAAAAAATATATCCACACAGGAGCATATTTTTGTGCTCTGGCATTTGCAGGCAGTGGGGAAGAAGCAAGTCTCATGGGAATGAAAGGGTGGGTCCCCCCCCCCCCCATCCTGGTGATGGATAAAGAATGTTTGGCTTTGTCTTGATCATAGCACAGGAAAGGGAAATGTCTGATTTCTAGCCTTTCTGAAAGCTGTTCTGGACCCCTGGTTGACACAGGATAACAGGAAAGAAGCCACATTGACCCCCCCAGTTGCTGCAGGACCCTGTGAGTTGCCAAACAGGAACATAGATACAAGAAAAACAAACAAATTATGCTTAATGTGAGTTACTAGGTTTTCGTTCTCTGCGTGCTTAATTTGAGTTCTTCTCTTTCCTTCTTTGTAGTGCAACTCAGGAACTGCTAGGAATCACAATCATACAAATCTTCCAATCTCTCAAATGTTATAATGGATCTTTGCAGCTCCCCTGGCCTTCATTGCACTAACCCCTTATCCTGCTTTCTCTCCACTTGTGGCATGGTGGAAAAGCATCATCAGAGGCCACATGGTGCTCCTTCCAGTGCATTTGCACCTTGCTGACCTCCACGCACCCCTCCCAGTAAACAACAGCCACCCACCTACTAGGATGTCAGCATATCAGTTCTGCCTTACCTGGGAAGCCACTTCTGTTTATGCCCAAACATTTTGAGAAAATGACACGAAGGAAGAGAGAACATCCAGCTTCCTCTCTGCTCCTGCTGCTCTGTGTTCCAGTGACGAGTCTCTGCAGCCTTACACCAGGGTAACATTCCCACTAACAGCAGGCTCAGGTTGTATAGGCTGAGAAGAACGGAACCGCAACAGGACCACTGAAAAACAAGAGGGAGGTATCAGCATGTTCAGGGAAGTCACGCCCCACCCCTGAAAAACCATTTCAAATAAACTTAAGAGAACAACCCTAGAATAAAAAGAAAAGCAAAGTCCGTTAAAGAATGAGCATGCTCAGTAGCAACAGAATGTCAAGTGTCAATCAAGGAAGAGAATGGAGAACCAGAAAGGGGTGCAAAAATGGAATGGGCTGCTAGAGAAGGGCATGATGGCTGGATGGCTGGTTACTTTATGATGAGGACTCTTGCTAGGAGGAGAGACTATAGGGCACCATTTAGTTGCAGGTCCCTCTTGGAATCTTGGATCTGCATTGGAATTGTTAGGAACATCAGTTTGTATCCGAGGATCCCAGAAGCTGCACCAGAACCAGCAGCAACTTCTGCAAGCTGGCACACATGGGGCTGGCGGGGGCACATGTGCACCTCTACATAGTAATGAAGTCTTCTTGGGTGGATCCAGCTGCCCATGAATCACATACAGTCCACAAAAGTCAAAGTGCATGGATAGACCTATTGAAATAAAGGTCAAAATGAAACAATGGCCCGCAAGATGACTTGGCTGTACAGTATAGGCTTTCAGTATACACAGTCAACTGTAATGTATACACTGTAAACCCTGGAGAAACGATTGACTTCCCCTGCACATAATAGATCTGATGAGTGTGCAGGAAATCTCTCTGCCTTGTCCTTTCCTATGTTAGAATTTTTAGAATTTTTATCTTCTTTCTTTTTCTTTTTTAGCAGAACATTCTCAAAAAGAACAATACACGGCCACAGTGACAGGTTGGAGGTTTATTTGTTTGGTGCTTGTGATTAATGTTTTCCAGTTAGATAAAAGTCTATTCAGAGAGGCTGTGATTGAACTAATCTAGTTAGAGGCATGGGAAGATTTCAATGAATAGCATTGGTCAGTCTTGTACACAGACGAAATCTTTTGGGCTCTATGCAAAGGAAACAAGAAGAATTTGCACTTGGGACACATGGGAAAGAAAATATTCTAGTTTAACCACATGCAATTTAAGAAGATTCATTTCCTGGTAACTAATTAGGAACATGCACAGCTGTATCATATTAATTCAGACTATTTCTCTGCCTAGATCAGTATTGTCTATCCTCCAGGTCTCTCCCTGGTCCTCAGAACTCTTCCCAGGCCACATCCAGTATGTCCAGGTCATACCCCACCCCAGGCCCTGCTACTCACACACACACAAACCCACATACACACGTGTTTTTGCCTGGCTGGAGAATGTCCTTGATTGTCTACATGGAGGTTAGAAAGGGACGTGAAAGTATGTATAGAAACTAGCCTACTACCCCTCCCATCCGTCAGTATGCCATGGAAACTGAGCATGCTCAGACTACATTGTGCTGGGTTTTTAGGAGGAGGAACCTCCTCTTAGGATTTCTTTCTATATATACTGTATATGGAAATATCTGATCTGATCTGATCCCTCCTTCTTGTTTCCCTCCGTACTAGATTATAAGGTGCAATACACACACGTTGCCAGTAGAGGGAACCTGATCAGTAGCGGATGCTTCCCTACATTCAACGAGGAAACGTGAGAATAAACTGTAATTAGAGAACCTGAAACGGCCAATTTCAACTTCTGTTTTCCCCGGAGGATATCCCAAGGCATACCGGAAACAACTGGTTAAGTCCATATCTGACCTTTGGCGGTATTCCTGATTAGAGCACCTCTGGTTTTGCCCTGGAAAAGTCAGTAGTGCAGTTAGGCCTGCAACTTATTGTGGGGGTTACGTTCCAGGGAATCACGCCTAAAGCCAAAATTGCATCTAGTCAAGACTATATGTGATTTTAAAACTATATGTGATTTTAAATGGTGGGTGAGAATATAAAAGTCATTTTCTCCAGAACCTCGACCTTTTCCCACCTGCTTCTAATTTTTTGTTTGAAATTTCCACCTGTGGAAAGCTAAATGTGCACAAGTTGTGGACTTGCTGTATCTCATGACCAATATCATTTGGGTCTCAAAACTCTTGCAAAGCCAGCTTACACAAAATTAATTAATTACATGCAACCATCCACTATAAAGAAAAAGTACAAATCTGTCATTCCAAAAAGCTAAAAAAAGCAACCCATAGCTTTCCCATAAATAAGCCACTCAGCATTTTGCCTTCCTCTGATTCCTATAAAAAAAAAGTTAGCATGGTTATAACAGCAATGTGCCATATTTTCAAATGCTATTCTGAAACTGGGACTTGGCGTTGTAAGATGCCATTGGAATTCTTTTTTTATAGAAATCTTCCTTTGATACTACTGACATCAATTGGGAGAGGACACTCCTTCAGATCCAAGCCCATTCCTCCTCTAGGACAGATTGACCAGTTTAATTTCCCAATATCTCTAGAAAATGAAAGTTTTCTTCTGGATTTGTTCAGCCAAGGCAACAGAGCTCTTCCATCCCACTTTAATTGTGCAAACTTATATGTCTGGTATGCAAATAAATCCCTCCTGCAAAATACAGACAGTCTGGTAAAGGTAAATGTAAAGGTACCCCTGCCCGTACGGGCCAGTCGTGTCAGACTCTAGGGTTGTGCGCCCATCTCACTTAAGAGGCCGGGGGCCAGCGCTGTCCGCAGACACTTCCGGGTCACGTGGCCAGTGTGACGAAGCTGCTCTGGCGAGCCAGCACCAGTGCAGTACACAGAAACGCCGTTTACCTTCCCGCTATAAAGCGGTACCTATTTATCTACTTGCACTTAGGGGTGCTTTCGAACTGCTAGGTGGGCAGGAGCTGGGACCGAAAGACGGGAGCTCACCCCGCCGCGGGGATTCGAACCGCCGACCATATGATCGGCAAGTCCTAGGCACTGCGGTTTTACCCACAGCGCCACCCGCGTCCCAGACAGTCTGGAGGCAGCCTCAAATGTTTGTTTGCACTGTGAGGCACACAGGTAATTAGGACTGCTTTACAAAAACATGTGTCGTCTATCCTAGCCTTCTTAAAAGAATCGATAAGATATCACAACATGAAGTAAGCACTTGCTACAGCTAACTGGAAACTTAGAGATGCTATTTTGCCCACCTCTGATAAGCCTTTTATTGCGATCTGTTACACTCACATCTTTGCAATAAAATAAAATAAAACCAAGATCTGTCTCACTTCATTTAAGAAAGGTTAGTGGATGACACATTGACTCATGGCCAGAACTTTATCTTCTGTCACCAGTGCTCAGTGTCCTTGGAAATCTGCTGTCAACAACTCCAGAAATTGGGGAGGGGGCCCAGGGAGGAGAATTTGCACAGTAAAGTCTGGCAGGATGCCAGTTAGGAAGTGTTAAATGAGTTTGCTGTGAGCACTTTCTGCAACCACATGCATTTGGGTAGCCTTTGCTATCTAAGGTCAGGTTTCACATGCTCTCCATTCATTGCCTGCTTTGGGAGAAGGTAAAAAGGATATATTTTGAATGGCACTCGCTTTTGTCTAATAATGTAGATGAACTGAGCACGGCAGAATTTTGTAAAATTGTGTTGCTACGACATCAGCATTTACGAGCAACTATTTTTCATCATGGAGAAACACTTGGCATTTTTATTTCTCGTATCGTCTTTAATTACAAATACCATCACTTTATTGAAAACAGCTGAACAGGTAAGTAGTGTGCTTTGTTTTTAGATGACGATACCAGAGTTTTTCATAAGGATCCATACTGGATGCTTATAGAGAAAGGAGGAGTAGCTATGGATAAACCTGTTGGCTGGTATTCAACTAACTTTTACTCACAGTAGGCTCTCTGAAATTAATGAACATGATGAAGTTAGGTCCATTAATTTCAATAGGTTTTCTCTGCTTAGTTGACTATCTCCCATAAACACACCTACAGGCGAGAAATTGAGTTTGAACAGGTGCAGAGTAAAACAGGCAGAGGACTTGAGCCTGATCTCTGAGATAGATTTTAGAGCTAATCTTGGACTCTCTTGGCTCTGAAATGTTGGTGTATCCGTTGTTCTCTCCATGAAAGAGATTTGGGTAACTAAGGCTACGCACTTCTTTTGAAGTAAGTGCTGTTGTGCATAATGGGGCTTACTTCTGAGTGGACATGCATAGGATTTACTGAGAAGCAGTGCTTTTTTTCTGGGGGGACGCAGACCCCTAAACATTTTGTGAATCTAAGTTTGGCCTCATTGAGGGGCAGTATTTCAATATGAGTAGGAAAATGAGAGTACCCCTAAACATTATTTAAGGAAAAAAGCACTGTAGAAAAGTAAAGTTTCCCAAGGAGCTGGGGTTCTATGTCAATTTGGGTTCTCTCAGCTTCTACTTTTTCTAGTCTTAAATCCAGCTCTCAACGTTTCTGCAGCAATTCGCCATTTTTTAAAAAAAAAATATTCATCATGAAAATTCCTTAGCAGATTTATCTTAGCAAACACATTTTTGCATGCAGTTTTGACTAAAGTACACATTTTGCAAGTTTTACGGTCTGCCCATGAGCACCTGGTTGGCCACTGTGAGGAAAAGATGCTGGATTAAGTGGGCCTGTGGCCTCATCCAGCACAGGGCTCTTTCTCAGGTTCTTAGCTTCCCTCCTGGAGCCAGTGGCTTCATGAGCACATTTTTTTATTTTTTTTTGGTCAGGAAAACAGCACAGAAAAATTGTTAAAACCTCTCCTGCCCTGCACCACATTCCCAGTCCAAGGTCTATTCTTTAGCCAATGCTATTGTTTTTGTGAACAAATTAAAAGGCACACAAATGTAACCATGCATTTAACATGCCGTTTAGTTTGGCTCTCAGAGGCCTCAGGGCACAATGGGAGCGTAAAGTGCTGCTGTTCTATTAAGCTTAGCATTTAAGGCATAGTTATTATTCTACCTCCTCCGCTGACTGTAAACTTCTTTGACTTCATACATA